CCATCAACGAGTCAAATTCCCAAGCTTTCTTTTCTTCATTGGGTTTAATACATCTGATATAATGAACATTTGTAGAATCAATAGTCTTCATCAATTCGATTAAAGAGTTTTTGAACATAGAACCCAATGTTGGCTTTTTGCTTGAAACTGATCTTACCCTAGAATTGGTTTCAGGCTTCGATGCTTCTAAAGCTTTTGCATTCTTATCTATAATTTCAAGAACAGATTGTAACATTTCATTAGTTGATTGTTTCATGACATCCAAATGGCCCTCACCAACGGTGTCTCTATTCTTTTCAATGAAACCATCAATATCGTAGGTAACATCAAGAGCATAATGACTGACTATGAATTTAGTTTGACCAAATCTTGGCTTCTTAAAAACCTTATTAGTTGGTTCCTTATCGAGTGTTTGATACATTTTTTCAATCCATGATTGATCGTTACCGGCAGGTAATCTCGATTCTTCATCCAATAGTGATAAAATACCCAACTTATTTTCGATCAAATTAATGCATGGCTGATTGTCTGCAAAATCAATGAATGACCATTCAATTTCTTCCTTAACATACTCTTCTTGCTCAAGTTTGAAAACATGCTGATTAAATTCCTGCTGTAATTTTTCATTGGCATAATTAATGCAGAATTGTTCAAAAGAATTCTTCTCAAAATGCTCAAACCCGTAGATATCTAAGACCCCAATAAATGATTTAATTTTTTCACCTACTTCAGGTGGACACAAATCAGTATTCACGTAATTGACTAACCAATCAAACAATGCGGAATAGATATATTTGGCGAAGGAATCTCTAGCTACATTCGCTTGATTGTGGTTTAAATTACTCACAATTTTCTCAGATCTTGTAGTAATCTGCTTTTTTACACACCATTTACTGAAGTTCATAGGATCAATACCTAATAGTTCACACGCTTTAATCAAATTTGGTTCGTCTGATGATAAATGAGCATCGTTTCTAGTAGCACTAATTTCAATATTACCAATATGTAATAAGGCTGCCAAAATCTTATAAATTTCCATTTGTTTCTCTTCATCAACTCCAATCAAGGACAAGGCATCTTTAGTAATGTTGAACTCTTCAGCATCATCTACCCCATCAATACGAGGAAAACCACCTTGATTAGTGTATTTATAGTCTTCAGCGCTAGTTAAACCTAAAGTCGCTTTATCGCCATCTTTCATACCGGCTAATATTTGATAAAAAATATGGTAATTCCTCTCACTCTTAGGTTGGAAGACTAACCTTGATCTTTCTAATAAGTATGTCCTAATCCTAGCACCAATGATCGATGTTGTGTCGTCGAATAAAATTTCCAAATATTTACCGAATCTTGAAGAATTATCGTTTCTAGTTGTTTTAGCATTACCAAATGCTTCCATAATAGGATTTGTAGCCAAAATCTGCTTTTCGACGTCAGACATGTCAGATTTATGTTCAGTGCCAATATTTGAAACTAATTCAGAATCTTCTTCGACGGAGGCGAAATATCTCATAATATACTTTGCACTAACAGTCTTACCAGCACCCGATTCACCACTTACCACAATGGTTTGATTCTTACCGTCGATCTTCATGCATCTATAAGCATCTTCAGCAATTGCAAACAAATGTGGATCTAACTCACCTCTTGTTTTACCGGCATACGCTTGAATAATATCTTGCGAATACAACTGGTCAACCCTTTGGAACGGGTTTGTCGCAATCAAAACTATCCCAGAGTAGGTGTAAATATTCAATTGCGAGTAACGAAGCTTGATGGCATGCAAAACGGCTGGTTCGTTCAAATACGACAAACTGGTCAAATCTTCGGCCGCTTCCAAAATAGGTGGATTTCGTAATGGTGGTAATTTGTCATTATCGTCATTTAAATCGTCCGTTTCTATTGTGAACGTCTGAGACTCATCAGTGTCTGAAACTAATTCCAATACATATTTATTATTATCCTGCTTCTTATTCGACGTAACTGAAGCTCCTATCCACCCAAGCTTCTCGTCTGGATACCAACAACGGGTACCAACATCATATGACATAACCATTTTTCAAATGTTGCTTCAATATATTATGCTTTGAAATAAAAATACTCCGCTGATATAACAGAAACTAATCTGCACCTATAAGATGAATTCAACAGAAGAAATCAGAAGAAATCAGAATAAATCAACAAATTAAAAAAAAATTTGTTAGTACTCAAAAAAAAACACTCGTAACGATTCAAGGTAGAATGCTTATTAAAATATTAAATAAATCCAAGTTTCAATCAGATATGAACGTGGTTGTATGTAATCGAATACGCCTGATGGATCTGAAGAGTGTTAATTTATAAATTAGTTTAATATGTTTTAAGAGTGTTTGGTCTTTTGAAGTCAATAATTGTCGTTGATTTGAACAACGAAACGCGTTCGGAATTAAACAAACTGTATACAGGACGTAAATATAGTATAAAGATGTTGTCTAAAAATATATTACTAATAGTTCATATATACCTATCTAAAGCTTTGAATCTTTGAATAAAGGAGAGACTAAAGGCTCGTAGACGTTACCAAATAACTTATCTTCTGGCACGTATCTCGAGATAGTTCTTGTATCGACGTAGTTTTCGTTTAAACGGTCAATTGTAGGGGTTCCTAATAATCTCATATTCATGATCATTTCGTCCTTCAAGATCTGGATCGCCTTCACGACACCGTCATCGCCGTAGGTAGACATTGCGTAAAGGAAAGGTCTACCAATACCTACACCCTTGGCACCGAGACAAATGGCCTTTAAGATATCCGAGGCTCTACGAACTCCACCGTCCGTGTAAACCTCCATCTTGTTGTGGAGGTTACGTTTTCTCAAGATAGGCATCAACTCTGCTAACAATTCGATTGGAGGTTTGGAGTATTCCAATTGTCTACCACCGTGGTTCGATAAGACGATACCGTCGACACCGTGTTCCACCGCCAATAATGAGTCTTCGACTGTTTGTACACCCTTCAAGATGATTGGCATCTTTGTGATTGACCTGAACCACTTGATATCCTTCCAGTTGAGACCTGTATCAATGAAAGACGAAATGGCCCTTGCAGCCCCCTGGGACCGGTCGGCGTCGTCACCTTCCCCTTGAACATGACTCAAGTCTTCCACATTTTTCAGTCTCATATCCTTTTCCCTTCTACCTAATTGTGGCGCATCTACCGTAATAAATAAGCCCTTAATGCCTCGTTTCTCAGCATGTTGGACGATGCTCTTACAAATCTCGCGATCAGAATTAACGTATAATTGAAGCCACTGAGTTTGCTTGTCGGTGGCCTCGTCCACAATCTCATCAAATGAGCACGATGCTAACGTAGGAATCATCTGAATGACATCCTGTTTGGCAGCCGATCTGGTAAGGACTTTTTCCCCATCCTTGTGACCAAGTTTACCCAAAGCAGTGGCCGTGATGTAGAATGGGACCGAAGTCTTTGTGCCAAGCATCGTGGTGGAAAGATCGATGTTGGTAACATCTACCATAACTCTAGGCTTGAAGAGAATACGCTGGTATGACAAATGATTATCTCTAAGGGTGATTTCGTCGTCACTTCCAGACGAATAGTATCCCCAGGCCACTTTTTCCATCGTATGTCTGGCAACAAATTCAAAGTCATTCAAATTATATATCTGTCCAAGATCTGGCTTTCTCTTGACCATTTGACGTCTGTTCAACTCCTCTTCTGTAGGCGGTTCATCGTCGTCATCATCGTATTCGTCCTCTTCTCCCGCCTCATCTTCTTCTTGCACAGCTTGCTGCACCGGGATCGGTGCCTTGTCATCCTGTTCGTCGTACTCAACGTCAAATTCGTCCACAATCTGCTGGTCACCCGAAGTTGTGGCCGGTGCTTGTGCTTGTTCCGAAGCCTGTGGTGGGGGTGGAGCTTTAGCTTCACCCGCAGCCTTCTTCTTCGGAGGTGGCTTGCTCACCTCTCCTAAGTGATGTTTAGGCGCCAAATACTTCGTCAAGGTGTCTGGCGGATGAATTGGGTCAAACGCCTTTGTAGCATTCTTACCAGCGTACTTCAAGATTATAGCAGACCCCCCAGGATGCTCGTCAACAAAATCACTAACATCGTATGCCTTATTATGAATTATAACCCAGCAATCTTCCTTCGTATTGTGCTTCTGAACCTCTTCGTAGTCAATCATTTTTAGCGTCTTTTACTGTCTCTAGTCTCTATTGTTGCACATATACTACGATGTTTCGTCTTCTACAATTTTCATTTCCCCAAGATTGCAAGGAATTCAGGTCAGTACTGCACATACAAAACTCCCCCCAAATCGCATTGTTACAGAAATTCCCTGGATAAATCCAGCTAATGAGAGACCAAAGATTTATAATGGGACAGTATTATACATTATTATATACCCTGGCGTTAAATACGCGAACATCATGTTATACGAGCAGTAAGTTGCACGTTCGAAAGTGATAGAGCTGTTATTTCGTGTAGTTAATTGTAGTGATAGTCTTGTTGAATTGAGGATGCGAATTATTGTAGAAAAGAAAGGGTGCAATAGAGATTATGGGGTAACGCTATGAGGAAGTGAACATGTAGATGATATATGATAAATGATAGAAGATGATTAATAGAATATAGAAGATAGACGATACACGATATACTATGTATCTATAGAATGATAATAAAGCTACACGATATATCTATAGATGTGATAGAACAACTCCGGACAATAACACCGGACTTAAACAGCATATGAAAGATGATCTCTGTTCACATGGAACGGTATGACCGAGACAACGAGACATTATCGCAATATCTCATGTCGTATACCAAATATCGCCATACGACATTTTAGATTTCACACGACCGGACGTAAAGGCTTAATTATGGCCAAACCAAAAATTCATTAATAAGTCCTAATGGCCTAGAATAAACTTAATTGGGGTGCTATTTCAGATAATCACAGAAAAATCACAACACACTGCAGTGACAAAGCCTTTGGACGATGGTTCTTATTAACGGAGTCAAGTACGCTTGCGAGCGTTGCATAAGAGGACATAGGGTCACGACATGTACCCATACTGATCAGCCGTTGACGATGATCAAGCCAAAGGGAAGGCCTGCTACACAATGCCAGCATTGTAGGGAGCAGAGAAAGAATAAGAACTTGCACACGGTGTGTACTTGTGGGAAGAAGGGGAAGTCGCCAGGGATGCATCTTGCACTGTGCCAATGCCTTAAGAATTCGCATTGCACCTGCTCGAGTAACGCATCGAAGAAGAGTGACACCAAGAAGAAGCTACAGAAAAGCATGTCAGAATTGAGCATACGGAAGGAACCAGAGACTGCGGGAGGGACGGTGGTGTTCAACGAACGTCCTAGTGGAAACAGTATAGATGCGGAAAGGCCGTTTGAGATGGGAAATGGGTTGTTTGACATGTTTTCTCCATCATCGGATAGCTATTCGGCAGCACTGTTACCTGGTACAAATAGTACTCTTAATACCAGTGTTCCTGCTCCTGCCCCTAGATCAATAACGAAGGCGAGGTCGGTGGACTCGCAGTTCCCAGGCGATTCGTCTATAGACACCAACATTACAGACACGAACACGAATGCGACTATGAGCGAAAATACGAATAAATTGCCTCCTAACTCCGATATGGTGGATAACATGTTTCCTTTATTTCCCTTGGTTGGTAATTCTAGCTTCAGCAATAGTAAGGACCAGCCTTTGTCGCCCATACCTGACCATGTCAAGGCCAAACTCGACCAGTCTCTGAATTTATCAGGATCACTGGTTAATGATAATAACGATAATATCAATGCCGCTTTGTCTCATTACCAGCCGATACGACCTAAGAGGCCAGAAAGTTCTCTTTCAATTACGTCGAATTCCTCAACTGCCAGCAGACCGAACCCCAATATGGAAAATTTCAATTACCTGAATATTCCAGCATCATCTGCATATCCGCCAAATAGTTTCAACTTCTCTCCTGATGGAGCCAACCAGAATAATGATTTCACACCCAATAGTTTGTTTGATAGCCAGTATGAACTGTTTATAAATTCATTAGGTGAAGAAGAAAGAGGGGAAATACCCCAAGCTAATCCGGAGTCTGATAGAAAGAGTAACCAGAATCAGAATCAGCTGAACTTGGACCTCGAACTTCATCCAATGTTTACAGAGCTAATGCTACCTATGAAATATAACAATTCCAAACGTGACGAATAAGCGCCTACACACAGACTTGCGTCTTTGTTTTATATCTATTTACCAATTATGACACTAAGAGCGTATTACTATTATCTAAAAATACTCTGTAAAATAAAAATTATTATTTATCGATTTTCAAATTTTCTAACCTGTTTATATTCGAGTTCATTGTAAGTAAGCCTTCTGTTTTCTTGTTGTCAGATAGTTGTTTAATTTGCTGCTTCTTGCTAGTGGGGACAACTGGATTATAAATTGAAGCTGAATTTTCGTCCCTTAAGTATAATGATAATCTTTCATCATGAACTTCCAATATGGACTTTTGGTCATTTTGCTGTAAAATACTCAACCGAACCAAGTACTCCAATAACGACAATGACGTATTTTTAGCTTCTTCAACAACATCTTTTGAATCATGGAATTCATCAGCATCATCGTCATCATCTTCTTCATCGTCGTCGTCACTATCATCAAATTCGCCCAATTTTACTTCGCCTAATGCGATCCATTCCTCATTATCTTGTTGATCCATTAATTTTAATATTAAGACCGGGGAACTCCTGCTTTCTAACCTAAGCAATTTTCCTGATGCACTAAAGAATAACCTTCTCAATTGTTTTATACTATACTTTCTCATTTGTCCTTCTGTATCTTCATGATATCTTCCATCATTGAAGTCTTCTTCAAACTCTAAGCTATATGAGTATTCATTTTCTTTATCAAAACTTCTCATAATACGTCCCAGACATCTAGCAAATTCCTCTTTCCAAGATATACTAGACAATTCACTAGCTTGCTCATTTTTCTCAATATATTTTAATCTGCTAGGGTTGTAAAAAATCGAGTACAAGACTAAATCAAATCTTGGCCCCACTTGTATTGTTTCCTGTTTGAATTCGCTATTCGATTTGTTTATGAAATCTGATGCCTGTAATAACCTTCCGGGTGAAATATGATCAGGCAAATTGCCGTTTAAGTTAACCCCACAAGTGTTTAATGATAAATTCAATAAAGGTATGGCCTCGTCTATTTTTTCTAACAACTCTTTCATATAGACGTTTACTTTCATTATGGACTCCTTTTCATTCAAATTTGTTAGATCGTTTGTGATCTTAACCAATGTCTCATCGAACACATCAAATTCTTTGGTCAATTCATCAATATAAATACTAGTTGCTTCCAATGATGTATTACCTCTAGCACTTGCTAACTTTATTAAATCAATAGATATGGATAATATATCTATTTTTGTTTGGATCTTATTCTTAATTATAGTGATTTTCTTCTTTTCATTTTCCGGTATCTTATCTAAGAACTTGCTTACCCTTTTAATAGCAAATCCAGATGCCAAAGAAATACCAGACCTAATTGCAAATGTAACTGCCTGGCTACCCGCTTTAGCTAATATCTCTTCCATTTTATTCTGTCTATTTGATTAACTGTCTTTGAATCTTTTCCTTATCATTGCTCATCTATTGAGTACATATTTAATTTTCTTTAGTGTGCAGCGCGTTGTTTATGTTTTACTTTTGATCTTAGTAATTAAGTTCTTTTAATAAAATAGTGATTGAAGATAGTATATAATGGGTAGAAAGCTATTAACGGAGTATACTACACCGCTAGGATCAGGGGCAGGCGTTCCAAAAGAAAAACGACCAGCAATGGTCACCGATGGTGCGGTAAGGTTAACGAGACCTTTCAGAGTGCCATTTGCCAACAGAGGGCAAACAATAGGAGCAGGAAGTTCCAACACAATCAAGAGATTACCGCTACGGAATGTAAGAAATAAATTAACTAATTATTCCGATATGGATAATATGAATGGGGTTGAGGATATTGGTGTTGATGAGAATGGTAATGTGATTCGAGGCACCAAGAGATTAGGAGCGTTATTACCAAGACTGATGTTGAAAGGAGACGGTTTGACCAGTAATGAAAATAAGTTTCGGAAATCGTTTACCATTCCTTTCTCGAAGAACAACGAAAAAATGGCTCAGTTTGACAATAAGGGACCGCCACCGCCCTTAGGAACCAGACGGAAGACGATTCTTCCACCAAGGGCTTTGCATGACCCTACCAGCGAGTTTGCAATCGTTCTATACGATCCTACGGTTGATATAATACCTACTATTGAAGAGCCAAAGGAAAATGACAAAGAGAAGGAATTAGAAGAAAACAAAGAAAACATAGAAGAAAGGCCTGCTAAAAGGCAAAGAACCCATAAGTCGTTGGCAGAAATATTAGGTATTTGTAAAAATCCTGAAGAGTCGTTGGCCAAATACCCTGATGTTCCTGTTGTTATTGATCCAAGATTAGCAAAGATTTTAAGACCCCATCAAATCGCTGGGGTCAAGTTCTTGTACCGTTGTACCGCTGGTCTAGTTGATCCAAGAGCAAAAGGCTGTATAATGGCGGACGAAATGGGATTGGGTAAGACATTGCAATGTTTGGCATTAATGTGGACTTTATTGAAACAGAGTCCTCGGGGAAAAAGGACTATTGAAAAATGTATAATTGTTTGTCCATCATCATTAGTTAGAAACTGGGCAAATGAAATAATAAAATGGTTGGGTGAAGGTGTTTTGACTCCATTGGCTGTTGATGGTAAGTCTACAAAATCGTCAGACCTAGGACAGGCATTGCAGCAATGGTCGGTAGCTACTGGTAGAAATATCGTAAGACCAGTATTGATTATTTCATATGAGACATTAAGAAGAAATGTTGATAAACTAGCAGGTACGGAAGTGGGGCTTATGTTAGCAGACGAAGGCCATAGGTTGAAAAATGGAGATTCGTTAACATTTACAGCATTGAATTCGTTAAGATGCGAGAGAAGAGTTATATTGTCAGGAACACCAATTCAGAATGATTTATCTGAATACTTTTCTTTACTAAACTTTGCCAATCCAGGATATTTGGGAACTAGAAATGATTTCCGTAAAAACTTTGAAAGTGCTATCTTAAGAGGAAGAGATGCTGATGCCACTGACAAAGAGAAAGAGGTAAGTGATAAAAAATTAGCAGAATTATCGCAAATGGTTTCTAAATTTATTATCAGAAGAACGAATGATATCCTTTCTAAATATTTGCCGGTTAAATATGAGTACGTCGTATTTGTTGGATTATCACCGATGCAAAAGAAGCTTTATAAATATTTCGTGACATCGCCTGAAATTAAAAAATTATTAAAGGGAGTTGGATCTCAACCTTTAAAGGCCATTGGTATGTTGAAAAAGCTATGCAACCATCCTGATTTATTGAATTTACCTGATGATTTAGATGGCTGCGACAGTTTAATACCCGAAGACTACGTACCTGCCATTGGAAATGGTAATAGATCAAGAGAAATCCAAACGTGGTTCAGTGGAAAGTTTATGATATTAGAGAGATTTTTACACAAGATAAGGACTGAAACCGACGATAAAATTGTATTAATCTCAAATTATACCCAAACATTAGATTTGATTGAAAAAATGTTCAGATATAAAAAGTACGGGAATGTAAGATTAGATGGTACCATGAACATTAATAAGAGACAAAAGTTAGTGGATAGATTTAATGATCCCGAAGGATCAGAGTTTATCTTCCTACTTTCATCTAAGGCCGGTGGATGTGGGATTAATTTAATTGGGGCCAACAGATTGATCTTAATCGATCCCGATTGGAATCCGGCCTCCGATCAGCAGGCATTGGCAAGAGTGTGGAGAGATGGCCAAAAGAAAGACTGTTTTATCTACAGATTCATCTCTACGGGTACCATCGAGGAAAAGATTTTCCAGAGACAATCAATGAAGTTATCGTTGTCGAGTTGCGTAGTGGACGAGAAAGAAGATGTCGAACGGTTATTCAGTGCTGATAATTTAAAGCAATTATTCGAATTTCAACCAAACACCCCTTGTGATACTCATGACACATATAGCTGTAAAAGGTGTCGTCCTGATACAGGCCAGTTTATTAAATCTCCTGCTATGCTCTATGGAGATTCTACCACATGGAATCATTTAAACCACGATGCATTAAACGAGAATGAAGATATTTTATTACGGAACGAAAGTGAATTCAACGATGTGTCATTCGCCTTCCAATACGTTTCACATTGAACCTCCATTTGCCATTTTACAATCCCATGCTTGGAGTAATAAGCTGAAATTTCAAAGTCTTTCGGACTTCATTTCGCATGTGACCCCACATTTTCACGCAGCCAATAATAATAGCAAATTAATAATGGGCTTATATAGGTTGTTAAACTATTTTACTTTAATACTACCATATAAATATATAATATATATATAAATACAATCAGTTAAATTAAAATGTCTAACATACCAGAAAATCCAGTAATTATTGTTGGTGGTGGGCTTGCAGGTTTATCAGCAGCTCACCAAGCATACTTAAGAGGGGCCAATATTATTTTGCTTGATAAACAGGGGTTTTTGAGTGGTAATAGTGGTAAAGCAACCTCTGGGATTAATGGATCATTAACGAGAACACAAATTAACTTGTCAATTAAGGATTCTGTTGAACAATTCTATGAGGACACCTTAAAGACTGCCAAAGATAGGGCTAACCCCGATTTGATCAAGGTTTTGACTTATAATTCGGCAGATGCTGTACATTGGTTACAAGAAGTATTTGGCTTGGACTTATCTGTGGTATCGAGATTAGGGGGTCATTCACAGCCTAGGACACATAGAGGAAAGGATGCAAAGTTTCCGGGAATGGCAATCACCTATAAGCTTTTGGAGCATTTAGAAAACTTGTCTGAAAGTGAGCCCCACAGAGTCATGATTTTGAAGAAAAGTCAAGTTATCGATTTGATCAAACTGGATGACGATGAATTCAAGATTGTTGGTGTTAAATATAAGGACTTAACTGACAAGCTGAAACATGAGTTGTTGGGGCCAGTTATTATGGCTACCGGTGGTTATGCAGCAGATTTCACTAAGAATTCATTATTGAGAAAATATAGACCAGACATCATTGATTTACCATCCACCAATGGTAACCATGCTACAGGTGATGGTCAAAAGATTGTTATGAAAAACAAGGGTATTGGTATCGATATGGATAAAGTCCAGGTGCATCCAACTGGGTTAATCGATTTAAATGACAAGGACGTCATAAATGGTAAGACTGCACCAAGGTTCTTGTTCTTGGGAGCAGAAGCTTTAAGAGGTGAGGGTGGTATTATCTTGAATAATAAGGGTGAAAGATTTGTGGATGAATTAGGAACAAGAGACTATGTGAGCGGTGAGATGGAAAAACAAATCAAGGCAGGTAATGGTCCATTAAGATTAGTTTTAAGTACCAAGAGTGAAAAGAATTTGCTGTTCCATATCAAACATTATACTCAAAGAAATCTTATGAAAACTATTAGTGGTGACGAATTGATAAAAGAAATGGGATGCAGTAAAGAGACAGTAGACAAGCAATTCGAGAAGTATAATAAAGCTGCTTCTGGTGAAACTGAGGATGAATTTGGAAAGCAATACTTTCCAAACACTCCATTTGAATTTACCACTGATAGTAAATACCATGTGTCGTTTATCACAAGAGTATTACATTTTACTATGGGAGGAGTTAAGATCAACGATAAGACTCAAGTATTGTATGATGATAATGAACCATTCAACGGGTTATATGCATGTGGTGAAGTTGCTGGTGGTGTCCACGGACATAACAGATTGGGAGGTTCATCTTTGTTAGCTTGTGTTGTTTATGGTAGAGTTGCAGCCGATCAAGCTTCTGGCCATCTCTTACAAAGATTAGCAGCAGCTAGTAATGTAGCTAGTAATGACACTGGTAATGCTGCTCAAGAGAGTAATGGAAGCGGAGCAGTTAGTAGATTACAGCAAATCAATTTCCATATTGATCCGAATCATCCTCAACAGATTACAATTGACTGGCTGGATAGTAAACAGGACCAGGTATCAAAGGCTGAACAGCTGTCGCAACATAATCAGCAGCAGCAACAACAACCGCAGAATCAACCTGAACCTCAGAAGCAACAAGAGCAATCGAAAGAAAAGAAGGATAATACTGGACCATTCGAAATTCCTTCAAAAGAATTCACAGCTGAAGAAGTTGCTAAGCACAACAAGAAAGAAGACTGTTGGTGCATTGTAAAGAATGTTGTATTAGATTTGACACCATTTTTAAAGGATCATCCAGGTGGTGAACAATCCATTTTGAACTTTGCGGGTAAAGATGCTACTGAAAGTTTCGATATGCTTCACGAAGACAATGTTGTTGTTAGATACGCCAAGAGCTGTGTTTTAGGTAGACTTAAGGGTAAAACACCAGAGCTTGACATTTAGAAATACAAGACATATATATATATATATATACATATATTAAGCATATAATATACATATATACACAGATTACACATGAATAACAAGAATACATAAATGTTTTTAAAAGAAATATATAAAACAAAATTCTAAATAAAGACAATCAAAAGTACTCATCCAAACGATCTTTTTGTTTTAATTAGGTACAAAAAAAATTCACAAGTAATTTCTTTAAAGCATGTAAATTAACAAAAAAAATGACCAGGTGAACTTGATCCCGCATCTTATAGATAATGAACCTAATTCGATTAGAAACACTTATGATGAACAATTGAAGGTCCAGATTCATCATATTCTTGTTTTGAGATCCACATTTGTTGGAAAGTAGATAAGGAAGCCAAGATAGAACCACCGATCCAGACAGAGTACTTTCTTTCTGGAGGAGCAATAATCTTGACCTTCATAGAGGAAGGAGCCAAGGCGGTAATTTCCTTTTGCATTCTTTCAGCAATACCTGGGAACATGGTAGTACCACCAGACATAACAATGTTACCGTATAATTCCTTTCTGACATCGACATCACACTTCATGATCGAGTTGTAAGTGGTTTGGTCAATACCAGCGGCTTCTAAACCTAAGTCAGAAGGACGGAACAAAGCTTCGGAAGCTCTAAATCTTTCGTTACCGATAGTAATAACTTGACCATCAGGTAATTCGTAAGACTTTTCGATGGCGGAGGATTGAGATGAAGTTTGCATTTCTTGTTCAAAGTCCAAGGCAACGTAACATAATTTTTCTTTGATATCACGGACAATTTCTCTTTCAGCGGTGGTGGAGAAAGTGTAACCTCTTTCGGACAAGATCTTCATCAAGTAGTCGGTCAAGTCTCTACCAGCCAAGTCAATTCTTAAGATACCTTGTGGTAAGGAGAAACCGGCGTAAATTGGAACAACGTGGGTAACACCATCACCTGAATCTAAAACGATACCGGTGGTTCTACCAGACGAGTATAAAGATAAGACGGCCTGGATAGAAACGTAGAAGGCTGGAACGTTGAAAGTTTCAAACATGATTTGGGTCATCTTTTCACGGTTAGATTTAGGGTTCATTGGGGCTTCGGTCAACAAAACTGGGTGTTCTTCTGGGGCAACTCTCAATTCGTTGTAGAAGGTGTGATGCCAGATCTTTTCCATATCGTCCCAGTTGGTGACAATACCGTGTTCGATAGGATATCTTAAGGTCAAGATACCTCTCTTGGATTGGGCTTCGTCCCCAACGTAAGAGTCCTTTTGTCCCATACCGACCATGATACCTTGGTGTCTTGGTCTACCAACAATCGATGGGAAAACAGCACGAGGAGCGTCGTCACCGGCGAAACCGGCTTTACACATACCTGAACCGTTATCAATAACTAAAGCAGCAACTTCTTCTGTTAGGTGTTAGTACTGGTCTCTGTGTGCTAGATTGCCGCTAGCCGCTGCGGATCACAACTCACGGATCACGCCCGGCGGATCATTGTCGACAGATCGACAACGTGGCAACATCATCATTCCTCCTGGCGCTCCTAAAACGTCTGTCTGTATTTCCAGCGTCTGTCTACATTTCCACACCTTCTGGGTGCTAACCGCTCACTCTAGACGTCCAGGAGCCCCCTGAGCAACCGTGATCCATTAGCCGCCGCTCGTGTCTCGATACTCGTCCACGATCGAATCAATCAATTGAATCATCGCAAACTTTCCAATCGACTCATAACGATTCATACATACCACCGTCCATTATAATTTGTAATTAATATTAATATATATCCTAATTAAACAAGATATGAAATAAACAGAGTGTTAAATTTCAGCTACTTTTTTTGAAAGGGGTGAGGATACTTGATGAAAATGAAAATTGGTCGAATTCATTTTTACCGTTACCCGGAACACGCGATTGTCGTTGTCGTAATGGATCGTCTATGTCGTAAGGATGGTGTAGTGGTTAGACTGAACGTTTACTAGTCTACTAGTTTAGTCGTTCATTGTCTAGATCATTAGTAGATTAGTCGTTTAGCAGTTTTTAGGGTTTATTCGTTTACTCGATTTACATATGATAATGCGCTGTGGTGTAATTGTATTTGTAGTATATTCTAATTGTAGATTCTATATTGTTAGGCTTTGTTAGGCTTTGTTAGGCTTTGTTAGGCTTTGTTAGGCTTTGCTAGACTTTGCTAGGCCCTGGTAAGGCTTCCTTTGCTTAGTTGCGTATGGGTGGAGTCGAACCTCGGATTCGAACTTCGGCCCAGGCTCATATGTTTCGGCGTTTGTTTATACATCGTTGCAAGTGTTTATGAAGACTTAGATGCATCAGTTACGATGGGACATGCGGTTGGAACGATGTGCATTTTTAGGAGTTAGGTACCTAGACGCCGACTACTGAAGGTTGGTTGTGGATTCGATTAGTAGATTTTCAATAGTGCGATTGCAATAAGTGCGAGACGATTGGCTATGTATGAGTGAAATTCAGGCCAGGAGCAATGTATGGAGAGCCAGTGGATTGTAGCCATAAACACAAGCCTATACAGCAACCAGGGACGTTATGACGAGGGTCTTTAGGCTGTAATTGGGGCTTCGGTGTAGACAATGATGGAAGGATAGGAGTGGTTTTGTGTCACCAAACAGGGCATAATCGAGAATGTTTGAGGATAAAGTGAGATCAATAAAGACCAGAAGGGCAAATTTAAATAGTCTATATCAGAGAATAGAAATGTCATCATCTGTACCATACGACCCATACATTCCCAACCAGACGACAGGAGAACAGTCTGCGTCAAGAACAGCGGCTATCCAAGCGGTAAGTAGTCAAATCGAAACGGGGCACAGCATATGATGCCAGACGACCCAGACGACCTAGACGGCTCAACAGGCGCACAGAAGGACCATGGCGGTCAACGAGGTGATATAGAGACCGTAGAAAGGTATTACGCAACAACAAATACTAACCAACATAGCAAATCGACGACACGGTGGGTGTCATGCGAGACAACATCAATAAGGTGGCCGAAAGAGGCGAGAGGTTGGACTCGATCGAAAACAAGACTGACAACTTGGCCATCAGCGCCCAGGGGTTCAGAAGAGGTGCTAACAGAGTGAGAAAAGATATGTGGTGGAAAGATATGAAGATGAGAATGTGTCTCATTTTGGGGGTAATTATTGTGTTGATAGTGATCATTGTGCCTATTGCAGTTCATTTTTCATAGTTAATGTGTATTTAATTATATGTACGAGAGAAAAACATCGGTGTAGACTAGTTACTGTCCAACAACTCTTCGTATTGAGTTTCACTCAATAACGATTCTTGACCTTCTGCCACTTCAGCTGGCTCGTTCAATTTGATTTGAGCAATCCAAGCATTACCCATTGGATCATCGTTGATGAGTTGAGGCTTTGATTCCAACTGTTCGTTGACAGCGACAATTTCACCGGCAACTGGAGAGTAGATTTCGGAAGCAGACTTGACCGATTCGACAGATCCAATCGATTCACCTACTTCTACGGTGCTACCAACTTCTGGTAATTCGACAAAGGTAGCTTCCCCTAATGCTTCACTGGCATATTGGGTGATACCAAGGAACACACTATCGTCTCTTTGAAATGCAATCCATTCGTGTTCTTCGGTGAACTTAACGAATTTTGGACCAGCTTCCTGGTATTTGAAGACAAAGGAGTCAGAATTCAACTTGAAATTGTTGGAGTTGTACCTCATGAAACTAACCCCTGGTGCGACCTTAGCGGCATTCATTCTGGCACCAATTGCATTCTTGGCTAACTGGGATCCTACTCTAGTCGAGATTCTGGCGTTGATTAAGTTTCTAAACATCTTGCTGATGAAATTTCCTACTTACTGATTTATGTCCTTCTTTTCGACATTTTAAATGGTTTTTTGGAAGTTAAGAGGAGTCAAAACCGGAGTCAAATACGTGCGGCACACAACTTCATTACTATACTCTATTACACCTACGTCCGAAACATAAAAGACTTGCTAATGCTGTTGGATCCACTATACTAAGTGCATGGAACCAACACATATGTATATAAGTCGTTAATAACCAGTTGTAATGGCTTATGACATATTGCAAAGAAAATTGTACTCCACGCTAACAGTGAATGCGCGCGTAAAATTGTAGGCAATATGGTTGGCTCCAGTAATCATGGTGGCTTTCGAGACACTCGTTGGTATTTAAACTAGAATCTGAAGTCTTCACCTGTCAATAAAGATATCTCTAGTGTGAAATATCTCCAAAGTATCCCTTCAAACCAATGCTATCGTTGTAAGCATCGGACGATGCAGGCTGCGAAAATTTACAGGGAAATTATCAAACCCAAAGTGTAGTTAGCAAGAGTCTAGTAAACTTGAAAACTATCTATGATGAATAATGGAGCTACAATGATGGTCAATGGTATGTCTACGTCTTTCACCTGGTTACAAAATCACTGTAAAGTTTCACTCGCTATACAGTCCTCTCTTATCGCACTATATAGACGTTTCCACAAATCGGATTTCTGATTTTCATTCAAGCTACAACATAAAACTGGCAACCAGACGACTGTAGGTAAACTCTGTAAGAGAATAGCTATAGAAATATACCTACATAGAAAGCCTCCGAAACTAATCTTAGTTGCGGAAAAATCTTCTCCTTCAGAAAATGTCCGATCGGCCCTCAGTGCCGATAAGATACGAAACACATCCTACTAAATGCAATCACAATGAATACATCTCGAACACCCATGTGCCATCTCTATACCACCTCTACACTACTCATTCAATTTACTTCATCTCTGACTTTGCATCTATCACATAGTAACTATGGAACCACTTTTATATGTCTGCATATAGTCTATATTATAAGGCTGCAATATAATCGAATCAGCCCTCTTGAAGAAATATATCAGACCAACCACTAGTGGATAGTATATGGTTTATTTTGAGATAAGGAGCCTGAATCGGATAGATTTTATCGAAATAGCTCTACTATATTCTAGAACTTACTAGTAATTTTTAGAAAGCAATAGAAGGTCCCTGCCGAAAGTTCTCGAAAATCGACTTGATTATGAACCCATCCCGCATTTAGCAACTTTTGTAGTATATAAGAAGGAGTATCTTTCAGGCAAAGATATCCCTTTTTAGAACTATAATTAACGAATTAAAGATGTCGAGAGCTATTGGTATCGATTTAGGAACAACTTACTCGTGTGTTGCACACTATACAAATGATAGGGTAGAAATTATTGCCAACGACCAAGGTAACAGAACTACTCCATCATATGTTGCATTCACTGACTCAGAAAGATTAATTGGTGATGCTGCTAAGAATCAAGCAGCTATGAACCCAAGTAACACTGTTTTCGATGCGAAAAGGTTAATTGGTAGAAAATTCGCTGATGAAGATGTTCAAAGCGATCTTAAGCACTTCCCATTTAAGATCATAGATAAGGCAGGCAAGCCACAAATCCAGGTTGAATTTAAGGGTGAAGTTAAGACTTTCACACCAGAAGAAATTTCCTCAATGGTTTTGGTTAAAATGAAGGAAACTGCCGAGAGCTACTTAGGTGGTGAAGTTAAGGATGCGGTAGTTACCGTTCCAGCTTACTTCAATGACTCGCAAAGACAGGCCACGAAGGATGCTGGTTTGATTGCGGGTTTGAATGTTACAAGAATCATCAATGAGCCAACTGCGGCTGCAATTGCATACGGTTTGGACAAGAAGGCAACATCGGCCCACGAAAAGAACGTTTTGATTTTCGATTTGGGTGGTGGTACTTTTGATGTTTCTTTGTTAGCAATTGATGAAGGTATTTTCGAAGTTAAGGCTACAGCTGGTGACACACACTTGGGTGGTGAAGATTTCGATAACAGATTAGTAAACCACTTTGTCAACGAATTCAAGAGAAAGAATAAGAAGGATTTGTCTTCTAATCAAAGAGCGTTGAGAAGATTGAGAACTGCTTGTGAAAGAGCTAAGAGATCTTTATCATCTTCTGCTCAAACTTCGATTGAAATTGACTCGTTATTTGAAGGTGTCGACTTCTACACATCTATTACTAGAGCTAGATTTGAGGAATTATGTGGTGACTTATTTAGAACCACTATGGACCCTGTTGAGAAGGTCTTGAAGGATGCTAAGGTTGATAAATCACAGATCCATGATATCGTTCTTGTTGGTGGTTCCACAAGAATCCCAAAGATTCAAAAGTTGGTTTCTGACTTTTTCAACGGTAAGGAACCAAGTAAGTCTATTAACCCAGATGAGGCCGTTGCATATGGTGCTGCTGTTCAGGCTGCCATCTTATCAGGTGACACTTCATCCAAGACTCAAGACTTGTTGTTATTAGATGTTGCTCCATTATCATTAGGTATTGAAACTGCTGGTGGAGTTATGACTAAATTAATTACAAGAAATGCAACAATTCCGACTAAGAAGTCAGAAACCTTTTCTACTTATGCCGATAACCAACCAGGTGTTTTGATTCAAGTTTTCGAAGGTGAAAGAGCCAAAACTAGGGATAACAACTTGTTAGGTAAATTCGAATTATCGGGTATTCCTCCTGCTCCAAGAGGTGTACCACAAATTGAAGTCACTTTTGATATTGATGCTAATGGTATCTTGAATGTTTCTGCGTTAGAAAAGGGTACGGGTAAAACTCAAAAGATTACTATTACTAACGATAAGGGTAGATTATCTAAGGAGGAAATTGAAAGAATGGTTTCAGAGGCCGAGAAGTACAAGGAAGAAGATGAAAAGGAAGCCGCAAGAATTCAATCTAAGAATACTTTGGAATCTTACACTTATTCTTTGAAGAACACTATTAATGATGGTGAAATGAAAGATAAGATTGGAGAAGAAGACAAAGAAAAATTGTCAAAGGAAATTGATGAAACTATCGCATGGTTGGACTCATCACAAACAGCTACACAAGAAGAATATGATGATAAACATAAGGAGTTAGAAGGAATTGCTAATCCAATTATTTCTGCTGCCTATTCTGCGGCTGGCGGTGCCCCTCCAGGCGGTGCTCCTCCAGGCGGCAACCATCCAGGAAGTTTCTCGACAGATGAAGCCACTGGTGGTAATGCTGGTGGTGGAGGCCCTACTGTCGAAGAAGTCGATTAATAGTTTTAATTCTTTTATATGAAAATCTTGGTTATTTAAATAATGTTTTAATGAATGTGATAATTTATATGCAAAGTTTGTTGTAGGTAAATCGAGGCTAACTAAGTGTTTCAAATAGAACACAAATCGTCGTTGCTAAGATCCAAGTAAAAATCAAAATGAAACCTATTTTTCTATCTATAATCCAATTATTTCTTGGGACCATTATAAGTAAAATCGATATACTCAATATTATACTCAAACCTGTCACAACTAACGTATTAGAGATATCAACTCTATAGCCGTTGTTATGTTTACTATTCCTGGGTATAATCAATAAACCACTTATTCCCATAGACGAAAGCGATAAAAGTGGGCCACCAAAGCAGGCACCAAATGCCATTAATGGCATTCCCATTTTTGCAATAGTAAAATTTGAGATAAAGTCTCCGATTGAATTACCTAGCGCAAAGACAGTTATTCCTAAAATATCATCACTCAAGTCATAAATAATCGATACTGTTTTCAAAATGCTTATAATTTCTGTTGCAAAGATCGATATCCATGATATGGCAATTGCAAACCCTATAAAAGATGCAATATAGTTAACATATTTTAACGATATGAATTTACGATCATAATTCAAGTTCATTAAACTAGCCAGTATAATTGACAATGTTAGCCCAATTAAATAATGATGTCCCATTATATTACTTAATAAGTTGATTGCCATAAATGTTTGCGTTGTTAATAGTATCTTGTCTAATTTGTAATCAAAAGTAATATTATCTTCTGTTGACTGATTAAAGGGGAAGTTCCTTTGATTTTTCTCTAGCTTATTCAACATTAATATAATTGAATGATCTCTAACTGGTGTAGTGACTCTTAATAATATAGATATAGGAAAAGATATTAACAAATATATTTTATTTATCAAATTGAAATCATCAAACGTAAGCAAATTAGGTGCAATAAACTTGATCAATTCTATGTCCTTGAAGTCAATTCTGTGATGAAAAACCATATTTCGAGGTTCCGATTCGGTTCTTTCAAAATTCTGTTCATGAAAATGGTTGATATTTTGTTCTGGTATTGTTTGATCTGTATTTCCTGTTCCCTCTGGTTGATCTACTTCATCCCTGTAAGGTTTATACACCGGAAATGTTTGAGGTTGATCAGTATCGGAAAATAGTTGTGGACTTTGAGAAATTACAGGTGCCGTTAATGGTCGCTCGTTCATATTAGACAAACTTATGCTTCCATGGTTGGAATGTTTACTTAATTCTCGTAAAAGCACTTTCAATCCATAAGAACCAGCTTCGACAGGAATACCATCAGAAGTCAGGTGTCTCATAAACTCATCGTACTCATTATTAATAACGCCCCCATCTTGGCTTCTTATGTTATTAAAGTTTAATTCTTCGATTGTAGGAAGATCATCAAAGGTGTCCAAAAATATATCTTCAGTACCACTGTTGTCTTGAGGACGTGTTAACGAATAATTTCCTCGAGACCTTTCTTCTCTCACTCTTCGCCTTATTTTTGATTTTAAAAACGAATGGTTCAATACAACTATCACCACATATATCACATACACCCCTATTAAAAGGATACAATTAAGCATGCTAAGGTATGAATTTAACAATGAAACTAATACCAATGCAATAACCCCCAAGAAGAATCCTGCATCTCTTATGAACAGATCTCGAGGAACTTTAAATGGGTGAACTACTGCCATCGATCCAACAATTACCGTTATAATAAACAATGCTGCACCCATCAATTCAGAGATTGCCAAGCTACCTGAATCTAAACTCATAGCCTTATACGTACTTAACACGTCAGGAGAGCCATTTCCGAATGCCAATAACGTTAACCCCGCTAAGTTATCAGACAATTCTAAAAATTTAGAAATTGTATATAAATTTGGACAAAGATAGTCTGATGCTGTCATACCTAAGGCAATAAAAAGCAAACTTAAACAACTTAGCAACGGAATAACAGAAAACGATTTGAGTGCTGGAAACTTGCAATAATATAAAGCTAAGTAGTTGAAACGGCCTATGTCGATTTCAGAGGCACAATTCGTTTCTATAAACGAACATTGTTCCGCCATAGGTACTTGGAGGACTTGAGAACAGCTGGAATTATCTCTTTTACTGAAAGTACCTAGCCCCTTCCCCGAATTAACAAAACAGCTCACATTAACAGCAATACCCAATATTAGTATTATACATTTTAATCTCATACTCTATCATGTATATGGTGTTATCAAGTCGTCTAGCCTATCTATTATGATTTCAATAGTGATTATCTGTAACATATTATATGCAGGTTAACAATTCATCGATGAGTTTTTGATATCGAATAGAAGTAATAGTGACTAGACTTAAAGCCTTGGTAAGTCTGCTTTACGAATCGACTTACTTGGAATAAACGGGCTAATTAGAAGTGATGCCAAATGCGAGAAGAAACGGCCAGAAGAACTTTTATGTCAGAAATCAAATTCTTAGCAATACATAAAACTAAAATACTACAAATATATGTTCAGCTGATCATTGCACCACTCCCCATACGGGCACACGAAGGTAATCCCTTAGAAATAAATAAATTATTCAACAGATGGAGTGCTGCACCCAAGATCAACCAATTTTTTCTCCAGACCATCCAGTGAAAAAAACACAACTATATTCCGATGGTCATGGGTCAAGAACGCCATAATGGGTTCAACCTCAAGGGAATGCATTAACGTTGTGAATGGCTGTGGTTTTGCGTTAAAGAAGAAAAATATAAAAGGAAAAAATTTTAACGCTTTCTATCTATTAAATAGGAAAACTAAAAACTTGAAGCGCGGGTAACCCCAATATGATGATAGGGTTGCAATATCTCTGATAACGCCCATTGCTTCCGTTGATGAATTTAGCTCATAGATTAGCGGCATCTGCAGTTGTGACGGACCTGCCTCTTCTCAAGTCTGATGCAATCATTAATTCAAACACAAAATTGCCAATCCTATTCAAATCATGTGAAAATGTCTAAACACAAAAGATTTCATTAATGTCTATAAAGGCCAATCGTCAACTTTATTATACTTCTACTGGCTTCGCTTCTCAACCTTGCAACATTTTTTCTCGTTGGGAGGCCTAAATAGATATTCTTGTAAATGTATCTAGAAGAAATTATTGGGGTTTTGTAGAGTAAGCCTCAACATCAGGTGCTATAGGCATTAGAGGTCTGGGACATTTAGAGGGTGTTTCTCACCAGTAAATTTATATGAATGATTTGTATTATCGCTTGAATTACTTGATGCTTAGAGAGATGCCCATAATTTATCAGTTTTTCTATCTATGTAATTTCCTTGGAGTAACATCTTCCTTTGTTGTTCTTGTGTCTAGTGATTCTAAGCTAATCTCATCAAAAACTTCATCCTAAGAAGAATTATTATCACTTCCATATTTTCCATCTTGGCCACGTTTTCCAAATACGCTGAGAAGAGATTTAAAGTCATTCTTTTTACGCTCTTCGTTATTGGCGCAATCTGCTAGTCCAAAATCTATTAAAGAAATTTTACCAGAGATGGAAACATGAATGCTGGCCAGCCTAACATCATTGTGAGAGATTCCTAACAGATGGAGCTCCTCGAGCCTCAAAATTTGATAACTTCATATACGTTATCCATATTCAACTCTTCTATTGGTATTTCTTTCCCTAGAGATTCAAATATATGCATCGGATGGTCGGGAAGTCCATTCCAATAACCAGAAACAAGAAGCTTTGGAAAATTCGGAGCAAATGGTGATTTTGCAATTTTTTTATTAATTACAAGTTCATTAAAGAACATGCCATAATAACCCTTTTTATCGGGAATAGTAAGGCATGTTAAATCATTTTCTTCCCATAACCGGCTAGAGAAATAATACAATTTAACAAACACTGTATATGGAAGCTTCAAACTAGGATAGAATCTTGCAGCATCGTACATAATTCGACAATATGTGTTACCATGGATCTCATCAAAATCATTAATATCAGAATTTTCTGTGATTGGGTCTAAATTTCCCGAAAAGTCGCCGTCGAATTGTTTCTCGGACGGTCCTTTAGTAGTTTTAGGAAGTATATTCACAAGCGGATCCAGGCCCTCTGTTTTGTTAGCTACCTCAAGACAATTGACTAGCTTATTCTTTGTATCATATGCGGCCGCCACATTCTTATAGAAAAACACCACTATTGCAATTCTCAATGTAATTCCGTGCGAAACAGTCTCGGGGTCATTGATGGCATAGTAGTCTATAGTCATTTTGTTATCAGCAATTTCATATTTAAAGAACCCTGAGAATGTGTGGTGATCTGATATAAAAATCCTATCGGTACCACAGAGGAATGGTTGATAAAGGTATTTCCTTAGCACCAAAGCAAATAAAGCCCTAGACGACCATTCCTCATCAACAAACAAGAGCAGACCTTTCAGCGATCTCAATCGCTTAGTATCCAATAAATATTGCCCGAAATATTTTATAGCCACTCTTAATTCTTCGAATCTCGTGCTAAATTATAGGTTCCTTTTTTATAATCACCTATCGCAAACAAATCTCTGGAGTATCTAAATTTCGAAACGGTCCTTTTTTTAACATATGAGTTATATCTGCCTTTATTACGCTTCTTCTGTCCAAAGGTGGTCTAATAATCGACGGTTGGCCAAAATAATAGTCTCTCCCACAGATGTTACGATGAACGTCACATATTGTTGGTGCAATTCTCCAATTGAAGTATTCCTGGATAGCACTTTCTGCATGGCAAGCATCTCCCAATGGATAGGCATATTCGTCCAATAAAAGCTGAATTTTTATACTCGATTCTCTGATAGTGGTATCAAGCGGTGCAAGGTACCTCTCCTTGAATTCATCACTACTCATCTCTCTAAAGTCAGCCGTCATCAATGCATCGGTGATATAAACAGACATACGAGGCATAGTCCCTACTGACACATATGCATCACTTTTGGGCACCATTCTTTCTAAAGAGCTGTTTTGCTCCTTTTCATCATTTCGAATCCTTAATAAGTGAGCATCCAAAAAGATTCTTGTATTTTGTTAATTGTTATTTTACACCCTAGCATATAATGTTGGAGTTATTCTAATAGATTGATTCTCGGGGTCGTCATATGTTATGTCTTTACTCTCTTCTCCAGAGAAGTACATACATGGCATGCTAGTTAGATGGTTATAAAAACTGTTTATTGCTCATCCTTTATGTTAGGAAACGAATGCGTATCTATGATATTACGATAATGTAAATCTGTTAGTTAAAAAGTGTTATAGATTATACTTGTTTATGCATTAGTCTGTTTTTCAACACTAACTACTATGCAACCATATGTTTCATATATTTTTAAATAAAATATGAGCACTTAGACGAGAATTATTACATCAAATACATAAATCGTCTTCATGCGAATTCGACTGTTGTCTGTGGGTTACAAAAGCTTATTGTATAAGGTAAAATCGCCGAATCTTCAGACGCGGAGGATATGAGATTATCCATTCTACCAAGCACTAAATAAACAATCAACATGAATATTCTCATTCACATCTACACACGGCGATGGTTGAATTAACTTCCTTGTTTAATGTTGGCTTTTCTCTATGTTTGCAACATAAAACCAGGATATGGACCAATAGGTGTACTTAGTAGTTATGAGAAAACGAACAGCAAAATGTTTGACAATAGCATTGTTGATGTCTGAAGAGTAGCACGAAATTATAACCTACCTTCTTCCCTGAGAAAATTGAAAAATTTAAGACCAGCATACAATTTGAGCAAAGGAAATCTTTAAATAAGGCTTAAATTCATTAAAATCTATGTATATCTCTATAAAATCACAAGCTTTCACAACTGCTGTCATCTAGGGTTTTCAGAGTTACCAGTACTCCACTAACTTTTGACTCGTGAGTAAGTGATTCCATTGTGTCTATGACTTTCGTAAATACATCATCCACGACATCCTTACCCCATAATGTATCCATATGTTCATACCCTGGACAATTCACTATATCAATAAGATTGCTTTTCATTCTATCGTTAGCATCTAGTATTAATTTTCTTGTATTTTCCATATCAATCAATATGTCACTATCCCCATAAACCAAAAGCGTAGCAACGTTCAAATGGTGAGATATGGGAAAAGGAGCAACCCTGTTGCTTTTAGACCTAGATACACTCGAAAGATTCGATAACTTGGTCATTCCAATGTTGCATGTTTCGTCAAACATCTGAAATCGTTTGCTGTTAATGATTTGGAACCAGTGTACTAATGATTTGACAGACGAATTGGAAAACATATGGGGATATCCTATTCTTTTCTGAGATTTTGTCAAGTTCTTTCCTGTCCACCCAAATAAATAGATAAGTGAAGTATCTACGACCTTTTCATATAGAGCTGAGCCTAAGAAATAGCTCCAGAAAGCAACAGATGGAAGTATAGCTTTATTTCCGAACATACTATATAAAAATTCATTATTGTTAGCAGATTGGACAACAATCGCTTTGAAAATAGGGTGGTTTAAATTTCTGGGGATTATCGCAGGCGATAATCCGACGAATAAATTCAACTTGGAGTTTAATTCAGGCTTCAAACTTAAACTAGCAAATAGTTGAGAACATCCCTGTGAGAACCCAATATATGTTATCTTATCCGATAGTTTATAGTGCGATAATATATAATCAATCGAGTTAGGAATATCGTATAACGCATATTCATCCAACGAGAAATCCCAGAATTTAGAATCATCGATTGACAATTTAGTGTGTTTCATAGAATACTTGTTTCCTCGATTATTTCCCAACCACACATCATACCCCATATCCACCAATAAGAACGGTAAAATCCGGTCTTTTGTTCCACCAAGCAAGAATAACTCTGAGTTTGTGAGCAACCCATGGTGAAAATACGCTATTTTTCCATTGGGAGTATACCGTATTCCTCTTTTTTCAAGCTTATGTATAACGAGCACATACTCATCTTCTGTGGTAATAACATGTTCCCTAACAATATATCCGTATATTTCTGCAATCTCTGCTATATCCTTTGACCGAAGAATTCGTTCGTAGATTGTTGAATTTTTATTGTCAACATTTGCAGCATCAATATCTAAACCAAGACACTTTTTTATGAGCTTGTACAAAATAGATATAGCTATACTAAATAAGAGGAAGCTGACATTCAAGATAGTGTTTCCTATAGTCAACTTTTTAACAGCAGCCATCTTCAAGAACACTATTATACACGTATGTTATCTTCGTGAAACCAGCATCCATAATATAGCCTTGAAAATTTGACACGTGATTCTCATCGTATAAGATATGAAGTAGTAACGAATAATACAGGATATTATGTGATTAAAGTTCTATATACAACTAGTTGTAGGTGGAATAGCTAAATACAAAGGGGACTGGGATGCTTAATAAGGAAATGAGTTCGATTGAATCGTCTAATTTTAAGTTTGAAAAATAAATTAAAAAATTCCAAACCATTTCTTTCTCTTCTCAGGATTTTCTTCTTCACCAGACGTCGACTCGTCAGTCATAAAAGACATTGCAAATTTCTTGTGTTCGTCCATTTCTCTTAACAATTGCTCTTCTTGTTGCTGCTGAATTCTTTGTGCTTCTAAGACGTGTCTTTCAGATGGTCTGTTCAAGGCATATTCACCTTCAACGGTTTTTCTTAGGTTTTCTGGAATGTAATCGGAATCCTTAACATTCTTAACTACTATATTGGCACCCTTTGGATAATGCAAATCATCGTGTTCCTGATCACTGAGGCCAATCAACATTTCCTTGAGACTCAATCTAGCACGATAAAAGTCTGACATAACATTCTCCCTCCCGTCGTTCCAACGATGGAAAAATGCACAATAGACCACCACGCTTGCAGCAAGAAACGATCCAAACCACCGAGATCCCGTATTTAATCTCTGGTTGGTGTCGATTCTACGTAAAACCTTATACTGGCCTGGATACACTTCAGAAGGCGGTCTTGGGGTGTAATTCAATCTTTTCATCGTCTCATTCACTTTCTTGTATTGTGTAGGATTATTGGGTATAGAAGAAAACCCTGATGGCTGATTACCGGGTATTTTAAATTCTGATGGATACCCTTCTGGTGGTCTTAAATCTGTTGGATCATATGGATTATAAGGTGCTTTTGGTGGAGTCCAACCCTTTGGATTAGGTCTTCTCTGGAAATCATCTTCCTCCTTCATTGCTTTATCTCCACTCATTCTGTTGGTAGACTTATTCTTTTCATTCTACAGTAGTAACAATTTTCTAAATTTTAGTTGATTTTTTGTAACCTGTAAAATTGGAGGTTTTACAGTTTAAGTCGTTTACTATCAAAATGCTCCATAGTGGATAAGCTCAACCTACTTTATATAGTTATTTGTTTCGTTTATTCAATTGATCCATAATGACTGACTATAGTACTGATATAATTGACGCATTTACGCATATTCAGTCTTTTTTTTCTTTAGAGACACTAGATTCCCGACTTCATGCTCCCACGAGCCCTTCAAAGAAACAATCAGTTATCAAGAAAGCAAATTCAAAGTCCAAATGGTCCACAATAGAATTCAGGTTTTACATATTAGTGTTTCTTGTGGTTATTCCATTAATGTTTAAAACAGCAATGGATGCTTCTAATGAAACTAATCCTAACTATCCTAGGTATGCACATTTATTGAGTCAAGGATGGATGTTCGGACGGAAAGTTGACAATTCTGACCTGCAATATAGGTTTTTCAGGGACAATTTTCCTATGTTATGTGGGTTGATTATGATACATTTTGCCGTACGTAAGGCCGTGAGCTCTGTATTGCAAATTAATAAAAGGACCTACTTTGATTGTGGGTTTGGACTCTTTTTCTTATTTGCTGCCCATGGTACAAATTGTTTACGTATCTTGATTCATATTTCAATAGCTTATGCAATTTCAAGATATGTTCCCTCCACAAGGGCTGCGATTTGTCTTACTTGGATATACGGGTTACTGACGTTATTTATAAATGATAATTTCCGTACTATTCCATTTGGTATCAATGCCATTGATCATGGGTTTAAGGGTATTATTGCCCGGTGGGATGTTTTCTTTAATTTCACACTACTTAGAATGTTATCTTTTAACTTAGATTATTTGGAGAAATTAAAGGAAATTGAAAATAACGATAAAGAAGCTTCAAAACTCAATTCGCAAAAACTTACAGACCTTGACGACAGACAACGTCTTGAAGCTCCTTTACCTATGTCAGACTATAATATCGTCAATTACATTGCATATATTACGTATGCGCCTTTATTTATTGCTGGCCCAATCATTACATTTAATGATTTCATCTACCAATCAAATTACCAACAATTGTCGTCTGTTAAGGATTATAAGAGAACATTTGTCTATTTTATTAGATGCTTATTCTGCGTGCTTGTCATGGAGATCTTATTGCATTTTACTTACGTTGTTGCTGTATCCAAGACAAAAGCCTGGGACGGAGATACCCCCTTTCAGATTTCCATGCTAGGTATGTTCAATTTAAACATCATCTGGCTTAAACTATTGATACCGTGGAGGTTGTTCCGTTTCTGGAGTTTACTAGATGGCATCGATCCTCCAGAAAATATGATTAGATGTATGGACAATAACTACTCTGCCTTGGCGTTTTGGAGAGCATGGCACAGATCTTTCAACAAATGGGTTATAAGGTATATCTATGTTCCATTAGGTGGAGGTGGTAAATACCGTATCTTAAACAGTTTATGTGTGTTCAGCTTTGTTGCCATCTGGCATGACATTGAATTGAAATTACTTATGTGGGGCTGGCTCGTGGTCATTTTCTTGTTACCAGAAATTGGTTCTACAGTCTACTTCAAGAGATACGAAAATGAATGGTGGTACAGATATTTATGTAGCGTTGGAGCTGTTTTAAATATTTGGATGATGATGCTTGCAAACTTATTCGGATTCTGTTTAGGTAAAGACGGTACTATCGCATTATTACTGGAAATGTTCAATACTGTTTCTGGATTCGAATTTTTCATTTTATCACTGGCCGCCTTATTTGTGGGTGTTCAAGTAATGTATGAATTAAGAGAATCAGAAAAAAGAAAAGGTATCAATGTTAGGTGCTAATTCCTCAAGGTCGGGTATATTTAGTGTATAAGTTTAAATATTGCGCACATAAAATTTCATGGAATAACATAACTAGTAGTATAGAACTTCTTTACCGTATGGCTCCCCCAACTCCAGTATATTCAAAATCAGATATATTTTCAAGATATAATGACGTACTCGCAAATCCTGAGAAATATCAATGTCATTTAAAATCGATAACACAGCATGAATGTACATTTAAAGTATCCCACGACAGACTGCATCCCCCAGAGATAATTTGCTTGCCATTCAAACGAATATTCCAAAGATGCTTATATCCGGCTATAATAAAGGAAAATGGAAAGAAAAAGAGAGTCGAGAAGTGGACAAATATTGAGATCACTGATCAGAATTCTAATAGAGATTTGATGGTAGTCCTGAAATACGGTAAGGATGTGAAAGACTTTTTGAATGCTGATAAGGAATTGAAGCGACTTATGGAGTCAGAAATGAATGAAAATTCGTAAGGGAGGTTTAACGCTACTAGTGTTGACAGTAATAAATAATCATGTATATTAAAGGATATGATAGATAGGTGCATCAAATGATTTGTATTATATACGATAACAGTAAAAATTACAGGTAAAGCTACTTGAGTAGAATCTCACAGTAGAAGTTCGCAAATCGGAAGAACAGCATAGGTCGTCGTTATTCTGTAATAAAAGCCAATTAATAGGTGGTTCCCTCTGTAGGTTGGGCTAATTTCTTATTGGCTGGAGCAGCCATACTTTTTCTTAATTCTAATAGAATAGTTTCCATAGAATACGATCTTTTCCAATTCCTCAAAGTTTCGAATACCGAATCCATTACTCTTCCCTGTTCATCGATACAAGGCAAGTTGATCTTTGAAATAAATTGTACTTTTGGAGGCTTTTCCGGATAGCTTTCATCGCAAACTATGGTTAATGAATAAATTCTGTTTTCATGTGTTGAATGTGGAGGGCCCAAGATCGTTCCGTTCCAATAAGTCATGGTTATGTCATCTTGATTTGTTAACCCATACGAAATGGATTCAGCACCCAATCCTTTTTCACCTTTTTCTAATTCTTCTAATAATTTAAAATTTCTAGGACTAAAAGTATGTTAGTTATTGTCTAATTAACATACTACTAAATACAAGTTACTTACATCTTAGACATATTAACAGCTTTGGTGGTAAGAAAATGAAATATATCAAATTCCCTTCTTAAAACTGAATCTCGAATAGGGTCTCAATTTCACACGACTGTATTATTGTTTACAAAAAATACTTCAGTAGAGATAATAAGAAGGATAAACAAGAGCTATTACAAGAGGTAATGTCAGATACTGCGTCTTCTCCATTCGTTGATCGTCCACGATCGATGTTAGATGAAGATTCTGAACTTAATTCAAGACAGTTAATATCGAATTTGCAGTTTCAGATTTCATCACTTAAAACAGAAAAGAGTCTATTACAACAAAGTAAAGAGTCTATGGCAGAGAAATACGAAGATTTATTAACAAAGAAGAACGAAGAAGTAGTTTCTCTACAAAATGATTTTGATTATGTATTTAAACAAAGAGATGAACTACAATCCAAGTATGATAATAGTCAACAAATTAATGGGAAAACTGTGGAATCGTTGCAGGTTCAGTTAAAGGATATCACCGAAAGATACGACGAATTGAAGGAGGAGCATGAATATCTAAACTCTGATTTCAAAAAGCTTTGTCGTGACAATAACCAAGTGAAATCGGACTTGGAATTCCACATAAATTCAAAGGACCAAATAAACGAAAAGATTGCTAGTTTACAAGATGAAAACAAAAGCTTGTGCAAGACAAACGATGAGTTAATTGAGAAATTAAATAGTATTTCTGAACAGCTAGTTTCAAATACTGAAGATAAATTTAGCAGAAATTTACAGGAACAAAATTCTAAACTTCAGAGGACTAATAATCAATTACAATTAAAGGTGGACCTGTTATTACAACACAAGACATCGGTAGAATTATTAAGACAAAAGAATATTTCCTTGACCAATAAGCTATCTTCTTTGGCAGACTTAGAAGAGAAGTGTTGCAAACTAGAAATTGAAAATCTAGAATTATCAAATAAATTCGATACTTTTTTCAAGACAATAGAGGATTCAATTAACGATGATACAAGTAGAACAAATGAGTCAGTTATTATTGAATTCATGAATAAGTATAAGCGATTGCAAAATCTTAATTTGGTACTTCAGGATAAATATAATCAATCAGTAGCCAGTGTTAAAAATATGCAAATTGAGTTATCTAATGTGCAACAGAAATTTTCGGAGGCTATTTCAAAAGTAGAATTATTGAGCGAAACAGTATCTACAAAGACAGAATTTATCGGTAAACTTGAAAGACAGAAATTACTCAATGTCAAAGAAATCGAATATCTTAGACACCTGTTGAAAAAGTTGGAAGAGTTGAATTTAAAGCGTTCTAAAGAAGAAACTAATGATAAATCAACAGAGCAGTATATGACAAATTTAGAAAAGTTAGTTGATGAGTATAGGACTGAAATTAATACTCTTCAGAAACAAATGCTGTCACAAGAGATACAATCCAACGTTCAAGCTGGAAGCAAAAGACCAAGAATAATAGACAATGGTATACAGAATGATTTCAAATCTCAGGTGTCCGTATTAGAGAAGGAAAATTTAAAGTTATTATCTGCTATCAAAAATTTAGAATACAATAATAAAACTTTGGGAGAAAAATTACAAAATTTAGAGAGCTTAGATAATAAGAAAAAAGAGTTGCATATTTTACAATTAAAATCGAATCCAGCTTCCCAAGATCAACTTATTAAACAGCAGACTTTAGATTTGCTTTCTAAGGAAAATCAAGAAATGATAGAGACATTCGTGAAAAACAAGAGTGCTCATGATATGATTCCCAAATCACTTTTTGAAAGACAGGAAAACGACAAGTTACAGTTACAAACAAAAATAGACCAGCTAAATAAAAGAATAAGTCGTTTAAGAGAAATTTATAGCCAGAAGAGTCGTGATATTTTATCTGTTATCTCGAAATTTTTTGGGTACACAATTGAGTTTTTACCAAGCCCAATAAATTCTAATGACTTATCATCTAGGATAAAACTTGTTTCAAAATACATGAATAATAAGGATGAATCCAACTCTGCATACTTAATACTAGACGTAAATTCAAAATCATTGAAAGCAAATGGGAGTTTAGAGTTTAAAACGCTATGCGAAGATTTGGTTACTAATTGGATTAGGGAAAAAGATCAAATACCCTGTTTCTTAAGTGCTTTGAATTTAAGCATATATGATAAATATGCATCTTAAAAATAGTTCTCTAATGTAAATTAATAATATTAAACTATACAGTCGATGCAGTAATTAATTGTTTTGCTACGTACAGAAGTAGTTCAGTAGGGGTCTTCTCGAAATTTTCCACCTTCTTGATTATCGAATTCCAAGTCGTCCCTTCATTTATCTCTTCATAACGCTTTTCAAAATTTTTTAAGAGGGCATGTTTCTCTGAATCAGAGCCATGTTTTTCTATAAAGTTGAATAACCACCCCCAACAATCTCCATTAGTTTTGTCACTATTCAAGGCTCTTTCAAACCATGATTTAGCTTTCATGAATTTTCCATCCAACCAAAAAAATATCCCAATATGAAGCAAAACTAATGGTGAATTATCCGTCTGCTTTAAAGCATCTAGGAATGCGTTTTTTCTCTGGGACATCTTTGGTATCATCTGTAAATTTTGAATCCAAAGAAGTGGTGAATTAGGTAAATCCTTAAGTGCTTTATTGCAAATTTGTCTTGCCGTTACGTTATCATTATTTCGTCTCTCTAGTCCAATTTTTTCATTCCAAAGCTCTTCACTCGTCGGATTATTTAGAATGGCCATATCCAACGTTGATCTTGCTCTAATCAATAATTCTCTTTCATCAATTCGCACGAGTGAAAGCCATAAATCAATCGACTTGGGACATTTCTTTACGCCAATAGAATAAATTTCTCTTGCGTTTCGCATATTCTTTAAGTCATGATGAAGTATCTGTCCTTTCTGTAAATAAAGCTTATCCGAATCTGGGAATCTTTCAAGAGATTCGTTACATAATGACAAGATCGATTCCTGATATATGCTATCGGGGTTTTTCATATTTAATACTCTTTTAAGATGAATATGTTTATACCATACTCGAGGCGAAGAATCGGGCATTGATTCAATAATTTGAGTAGATATATTCTCTGCGGTTTTATAATTTGAAGTTTTAATCTCTAATTTTACCTGGGCCAATAAAATGGCTTCACTTTCTGGAATTGCTTTATTAGCGGTTCTTAATATTTCTCTTGCTCCATCCACATCGTTTGCTAAAACCCACTTATCCTTAGCGTACATCAATGAAAATAATTCATACTGTGGATTTAACTCTATAGCTTGTTCATAGTAATTAAACAATCTATCTAACTTCAAATCGGAAACTTGTTTGAGAGATCTGAATAGCCTCATCCAACATTCTGAATTGTTCGGAAATTGTTCAATAATATATTGATAAATGCAATTTGATGTTTCAAACCTTGATTGGTTTGCAAAATGACTGGCTTCTTGAAACCAGATAGTTAACTTTTCCTTTGGATCTGACGGAATTTCAATATTCAAAGCATTATTAACAATAGCCTGACAAGTTTTGTTGAAGCCCTCAAGCTCTGTTTGTGCAGCTTCTTCTAACCATTCACGTCTAGATAATAATCTGGAGTTATCACTAATATTACTCTCTAGTTTTTTGATTCCCTTTTCCATTAACGTGTTTAGTTTCTGTATTGAAATATTCTCATGTTCACGTTCTTCTAATTTAGCAGCAGCAATCCAAACTTTATGATTATCACTCATGGACTTCCTAGCTTTATTAAGCAAAATTTTTGATTCATCATAAGTAGATAAATTTATTAAAGTAATCCAAAAGTTCCATTCGGTTGAACATAATTCAATAGCTTTATGTAATAATTTTGCAACATCCTTAGGATCCTCCTCTAAATCAATTAGCTTTTCCCATAATTTTACATTCTGTGGAAGAAATTCAAGAGCCTTCATTAATATACGGCGTCTTGATACAATGTCGGATGCATTCTCTAGTTCAAAGGCTTTAACCCATAACTTTTCTGATGTATTATTGAATTTGAGTGCTTCCGTGACAATTATTTTGCACATTTTTGTTCCTTCTGCGGACTTTTGATGAATATGAATACTCTCAAGCCATATATCTTCGTTATGAGGAACCTTCCTACAACCTTCGATAACAAAGTTCTTAGCTGCTGTATAGTTTTTTGCTTGTTCTTCCAACCTAGCAGACGCAATCCATGAATTGGCCTTGTAGGGGTTAGTTTTCCTCAAGGACGATAAAATTAGCCGGCCTTTCTTTATATCTGCCATTTGGTTATTTGATTCCTCTTGCATTATTATATCATTTTGTAAGTCCTCGGTTGTAGCATTAGCACCCTGTGGGACCAAGCTATCAAGGTGCTTACTCAACAACTTGTCTTTGGCCCCAGAAATCGTCTGAAAGTCGGTAACATCATTTTTATTCATTGCACCGCCTCCAATAGACCCTGCTCCACTAGCTCCCGCTATAACACTGTCTGGCATGGCATAAAACCTTTGTTGTTGCTGCTCCAAAAGCCTTGCTCTCTTATTTCTTCTCGTCAAATCACCGACTTCAGGCAACGATTCCCACTGCTGGTCACTAACACTAGAAAGCGCTCTCTTTAGATCGGCAAATTGCTCTTTTGTGTGATTGACGGCTTCCAAACTCGTTTCATCGTCCGTCGTATCTTTGCGCTTTCCCTTCATTCTCCTGTCAATTTCTTCGTATATCTTATCGGCCTCTTCATCATCCTGGTCCCGATTCAGCTTCTTACCTAGCAAACCGTCGTCATTTTCGTCTTCTGCATTGCCATTTATGTCTTCTTCTTCATTATCCAGGACTACAACACCTGGCTGGATTCTGACCGACCCTGCATCAGCGCTCGTCGTAAATCCGGTAGCACCTCTACCAATACCAGCAACATACCCTGGCGGAGGCTCTTGATCAAGGAATGCTTTCCTGTCCATTTATTAGTGTCCTATAAGTGACCTCTATCTGTTGTATATACTGGTTAAAATGGTGTTTCTGTATAATGCATATTTCAGTCACGTGCTCATCTCTCTGCTCGTGCGGCTTAAAAATTTTGAAAATCTTTTAAGAGTGAAGTTCACCAGAAGTGATTATTCTTTTAACCAAGTAGTTAGAACGAAAATGTCTAAAAGATCAGCATCTGACGAATTGGCACCGCAGTCAGGTAATTCTGCTGTTAAAACCACCAAAGATTCATTGCCACCGGCTAATGCGGCAGAAGAACAAGGAGATGATGTGGACATGGGTGAATTTGAAGACCCATACGGAGACGAATTTGAAAGTGACGGAGAAATCATTGAAGTAGATTCTGCAAATGAAGAAGACGATGATATGGACGAAGAAGGGAAAAATAAGAAGATTGAGGAATTGGAAAGAGAGGAAGAAAAGGAACCAGAGTCGACCATTTACTTACCACATAAGTCCAAGCCTTTGGGCCCCGATGAAGTATTGGAGGCAGATCCAAGTGTATATGAGATGTTGCACAATGTTAACTTGCCATGGCCGTGTTTAACCGTAGACATTTTGCCCGATAATCTTGGTAATGAGAGAAGAACGTACCCTGCTTCTTTATATGTTACTACGGCGACGCAGGCATCTCGTGCAAAGGACAACGAGATTATCACTATGAAATTATCTTCTTTGTCCAAGACTTTGGTCAAGGATGAAGATGATGATGAGCAGGACGAAGAGGAGAACGACGACAATGAGGATGTTGATCCTATTATGGACAGTGAAACCATTCCTTTGAAGCATACAACTAATAGAATCAGGGTTTCACCTCATGCATCCGAAACTGGAGAATATTTGACGGCTACGATGTCTGAAAGTGGTGAAGTCTTGATTTATGACTTGTCTTCTCAATATAAAGCATTCGATACCCCAGGTTACATGATTCCTAAATCGAGTAAAAGACCTATTCATACCGTAAGAAACCACGGCAATGTCGAAGGCTACGGATTGGATTGGTCACCATTAATTAATACTGGTTCTTTGTTAAGTGGTGATTGTTCTGGTAGAATATATGCTACTTCAAGAACTTCATCAAATTGGGTTACAGACAAGACCCCATTTTTCGCATCCGACTCTTCAATTGAAGATATCCAATGGTCCACCGGAGAAAACACTGTTTTCGCTACTGCTGGTTGTGACGGATATGTCCGTGTTTGGGATACCAGGTCTAAGAAGCATAAGCCAGCTATTTCGGTCGCCGCATCAAAAACTGATGTTAACGTTATCTCGTGGAGTGATAAAATAAACTACTTATTGGCATCGGGTCACGATGACGGCTCGTGGGGTGTGTGGGATTTGCGTAACTTCAATGCCCAAACAACTCCTTCCCCAGTTGCTCATTACGACTTCCATAAGTCTGCTATCACTTCGATTTCCTTCAATCCTTTAGATGAATCTATCATTGCTGTTTCTTCCGAGGATAACACTGTTACCTTGTGGGATTTGGCTGTCGAAGCTGATGACGAAGAAATCACCGAACAGAGAAAAGAATTACAAGAATTGCACGATATTCCACCACAATTATTATTTGTCCATTGGCAGAGGGATGTTAAGGATGTCAGATGGCACAAGCAAATCCCTGGTTGTTTAGTATCTACTGGTGGTGATGGGTTAAATATCTGGAAAACCATTTCTGTTTAATCGTAAAATGGGTGTTTTATTAATAAATCTCTGTTTCCAAAGTATATTAAATTTGTCAGTGATAGTAAAGCATACTTTTGTATATTAGTTTAGATAATACATTTTGACACTACGTTAAAGTCTGTAGCTAAAGTCTTGACATAAAGTCGACTTCTTAAGTGATGAGCCCAAATTGTAAAAAACACCTTTACAGGTTATTATTAGTTGAAAAATTATTGATTCTTCTTGATTTAAAGCCTTTTTACCTTTATCCATAATGGCTAAGAAAGATAAGAAATCGAAGGATGCTAAGAAAGCTCGTTCAGCCGAGAAGCAGAAAAAGAATTTATCAAAAGCTGAGCAAAAAAGTAAGAAGGTTTCAAAGAAACTAGGTGAAGAAGAAGAGGAAGAACAAGATATAGATGAGATTTTAGAACAATATGCTAAGGAACAGGAGAGATATCAGGCTATTACTGTCGAAATATGCAAGAGACCATCTAAAAGATTGAATCCAGCGATGGTTGCTAATCCAACTCAGGGTAAAAGGGAATTGATCTTGTTTGGTGGTGAGAATACCGAAGGTTCAATTTCACATTTCTACAATGATTTGTATACTTATTCAATTGACAACGATACATGGAGAAAAATATCTTCGAAGAATTCGCCATTACCACGTTCATCGCATGCTATGTGTGCACATCCGTCTGGGATAATTTTGATGTTTGGTGGTGAGTTTTCATCTCCTAAACAATCGACTTTCTATCATTATGGTGATACTTGGATTTTAGAGGCTGACACTAAAGAATGGACTAAAATTGACCAAAAGAAAGGTCCATCCGCCAGGTCTGGTCATAGATTAGCATGCTGGAAAAATTACATCTTGATGCATGGTGGTTTCCGTGATTTGGGAACCATGTCTACATATTTGAACGATTTATGGCTATTCGATATTACCTCCTACAAATGGACTCAGGTGGAATTTCCTCCAAATCATCCTATACCTGATGCGAGGTCGGGTCATTCATTGATCCCTTGTGCAGATGGTGCTGTGATATATGGTGGTTATTGTAAGGTTAAAGCTCGGAAGGGCTTGCAAAAGGGTAAAGTGTTGACGGACGGCTGGATATTGAAAATGAAGTCAGACCCTAGCGCTATCAGGTTTGAAAGAAGACGTAAACAAGGATTTGTTCCATCTCCTCGTGTAGGATGCTCACTTGTCTTCCATAAAAATAGAGGTATTTTGTTTGGTGGGGTATATGATTATGAAGAAAGTGAAGAACAAATCGATTCAGAATTCTACAATAATTTATATTCATATCAAATTGAAACTAATAGATGGTACAATTTATCCTTAAAGCCACAGAGAAAACAAAAACAACAGCAAGTTAAAGATAAATCGAGAGATGAAGATTTAGAAGATATCTTAAATTCTATTTTAGCTAAAGCTAAATTAAATGATGACGATGATATTGAAGATAGTCACGAATTATCCCATATTGAAAAATTGAAGGAAGAGGAAGAGAGTCAGGAAAACGAAAACGAAGATGTCATTGAGTACCCAGTAATGAATCAATTACCACATCCTAGGTTCAACGCCACTACCACTGTTGTTGATGATATATTGTATATATTTGGTGGTATTTATGAAAAAGGAGAACACGAATTTAATTTGGATTCATTATACGCCATAGATTTAAGTAAGTTGGATGGAGTTAAGGTATTATGGGAAGATTTAACTGAATTAGAAGAAGAACTTGAAGATTCAGATGAAGATGAAGACGACGACGATTTTGAATATGAAGGTGAAGGAGAGGATGATGATTCGGAAGTAAATACAGATACTAAATTAGAAATAGAAGAGGAAGAGGAAGAAGAGGAAGAAGCAAGCGAAGACGAAATGGAAATACCTGATCCTAGACCTTGGTTGCCACATCCAAAGCCATTCGAAACTCTACGTGCTTTCTACGTTCGTACTGGTGCCCAATTTTTAGAATGGGCAATATCTAGTAACAGGGAAAGTAGAGGTAAATATTTGAAAAAGGCTTCTTTTGATTTATGTGAAGGAAGATTTTGGGAAAGAAGAGAACAAATCAGTATTTCTGAAGATGCTTTGGAAGAATTAGGTGGTGTCGGTGACATTATTGAAAAAGATAATTCAAAGACTACCAAGAGGAGATAAAACCATGTAGATTTGTATTATGTTATATTATAGTAATTAAATGTGTCTAATAGAAACCTTAGGCTAATGTACATAAAAGTGTTAAGAAATAAAAGCAACTATGCAAAATGAAGACCAACTTGATGGAATGCGTATAATAATTTTAAGAAATCAGTTTGATCTAATTTAGCAGCTCTCTTATCAGAAAAGCCTGTCTCGGTCAAAACCTGTTCTATTTTAGCTTTAACGATATCGGTCATCGATGACTTGTCATCAACCATCATAGAATCGTCTCCATTTGCAGCAGCATTTGCAGTTGATAAGAAAGTCTTATAATTCTTCTCCAATATATCAAGAATGTTATTAGACTTAAAACCAGCTGCAATCGTCTTATTCTTTCTCACAAAACATATACGCAACAACCCATCCCATTCGTTAAAGTCAATATTAGGTCTTGGAACCTTGACCTCAATTCTCACCACGGACGATTCGACTTGTGGTGGAGGACGGAAGTTGTTCTTACTCACCTTCATAATATGCGTAACGTTAGCCCACATTTGCACGTTTGCAGATAATCTACAGTACAATGCATCGCCGGGTCTAGCAAGCAATCTCATAGCGAATTCTCTTTGAAACATAAGAATCGATACTCTTGGAGGTCTAGGCTGATTTAACAACTTGAAAACTAACGGTGACGAAATTTGATACGGCGTGTTAGAGATACACACGTCAAAGTATGGCAACTCTGTCTTTATGAAATCTCCTAGCAAGATATCTAACTTCTTTTGGTTAGGAGTACCGTGAACTCTCTTGGTTAACTCAGCTGCCATTCTTGGATCCATTTCACTGGCAATAACTTTTCTAGCTTGTTCTAAAATACGAACAGTCAAATTACCCGTACCCGGACCGACTTCCAAGACTATATCACTGGGCTTTATTCCTGCTTTATCGACAATACCCTGCGCAACTAAAGGATTCTTTAAAATATGTTGACCTAAATTAGTATTGAACTTAAAGACTGAATTTAAATGTTTTTCTGCTGAAACACTAGAACCTGTTGGGTCCGAGCTGGTGCTGAACTTCTTTCTTGCTGCTTTTGCCATCTTCTATACCTGTACCCTATGTGTTTATTCCGTTATCTAAGTATTTCAACTCAACCTCATCTCTAAAAAAAAATATCATCGCAAAAAAATTGGTCCGTTTTGCGTTAGATTTTTTGCGCTCCACAGATCATTAAGATTATAAACAATAACAAAGTGGATCTTTCTATAATAGATGAAATACTGCTAATTGATGTATATTATATATTGGAATATAATTCAAACGGTATTGAGGTATAAAAAGACAAAATTGCTAAGATATCTGAGACATTTTAATTGTTAATATAAACTACGCTAAGCCTAAGATACAAGGTACGACCAGAATGCAAACATGACTTATAGAGAGAATAATATAGTATTATCACAAATCGTGAATTCTACACCTAGATCATCATTTTATGATGAATTGATTGAAATACCGAATAATACAGTATTGCTGTCTCATGACTTGTTCAAGATCAATAAAATAGTGGACGATATATTTGGCTACTTATCGGAATTGCTAACGATGTTTCGAGAAATTCGAAATGAGATGAAGGTAATGGACGATCTAAGGTGGTTTTTTGAAGGCAGGGATGGCATATATGAGTTGGTTCGAAACATGGAAAATATAGACTCTATTATATCACAGCTTTTGGGAACAGTGGATGCTCATGCGCATGGCCTTCCTGACTTCACGTTGTTGCTCGGGAAGTTTGAAGAGACGAGCGATCTATTGTTGGAGGTGAAGAAGTTTCTAATCGTGTTCAAAAAGAAAGTAGATATTGCTATAAATTTCGTGGAAATTAATGATAACATAATAGAGGCTCTTACTCGGGAAATAGAACAATGCATTGATATTTACCTGAAATTACTGGACTTGAAGTTGTCCAGCCCCAAGCGACATCTAAGCAAGTTCAATTTGGAAGTAATCATATCTAAGATGAAAATAAATAACCTTACATCAACTAATTTTTCGACAAAATCCTTGCGATTACCAACATTTAACGAATTGGATGAGCATTTATATAACGAGTACCTCAATTTAGAGGACAGAATATCGCCTCTTAAAGTTTCATTAGAATACTTACCATTCCGGATTGAAGAATTCAATATATTCTGTAAGTCGATATCGGTTGCAAATTTATTTCCTAACTCGCTACCGGAGATTGAAAATAATCATACGAATCTTATGAAAAAATGGGAATATTTACAAAACGGATTAAAGATTATAAAAAAAGGGACATTAGATTCCAAATGGAATGATTTATTTACATACTTAATTCATGAAATCATTTTCAAATGTGATTTTCTTATCGATAGTTTGCGGGACAAACATGATGAGCAAACGTTAATAACGGATGAGATTGGAACTATGTATAAACTATGTTCTAATTCTATTACATTGATTACTAAAGCATTTGCAGAATCCACTATCTATGAATCTTCTTTGGCGTCGTTGTTTAATGAGAGTCTTGTCCCTAAATGGCAAATTCTAAATGAATTACTTTCAGGCTCATTGAATCCATCAGGTACAATAACAGCAAACTTGGCATCTGTTTCGAGTTTAAATGGTAATAACTTAAAAGCTTATCATACATTTAAAAGATCACCAACCCCAGAAAGCTCAAATAAAGAAGTATTTCCCAAAATATCTGATCATGGTTTAGGCATAGATTTGGGTGTGGATGTTGCCTCCTCTAGAGTTCCATTCAGCATCGAGAAAAAGGACAGAGTAAAGAACTTTCTCAATACGGAATCTAGCAATAATACTAAGAAAGATTTGAAACAATCCTTAATTAATATAGAGGATGACGATACCAACACAAAATTAGAGTTTCTTGAGAAAGGTGATAATGATTTAATGAAAGAAGATGATGAAATTACATTAGTAAATTCGAAAACTCCCAAGCTTCCATTTGAGATCGATAACATTAATCAAAAAGTCACCAAGCTCAAAATTCAAGATAAATATGCATCTGAGGAAATATGGAACTCTGTAATAAACTCCAAATCTAATTTTCCTTCACGAATTCCAATAATACTGGAAGATTATATTAACCGAGGTTTACCTGTCATAAAGAAGAAGTATTTTACTAAAACTAAGCATTCAAGGATCCCCACAATTAGTCCTAATCATCCCATATTTATTGATTCTCCAGAAAGACCAAACGAAATAATTTCCTTAAAACCACCATTATTCTTGATTAATAGATCAAATACAATAGTTCACCCATCACCGACACCCACCCGATCAAGAATACAACCCGATGAAGAGGATGTATTCCGCAAACCTTCAAGAAAACCGTCTATTATTCGAAGTACTAACAGCATAGTTTCTGGTCAACTATCAAGAACTTCGTCCCTAAGCGAGACTACAACTCCAAATCTTGTTTATCAGCAATCACCCACCTACAGATCTACATCTCCTGATAGACCGTCGTCTGCCATAGGCTCGAGATTCGATCATAAGCATTTAATACACCCCGTAAAAAGCCCTAAACCTGATTGGAAATAATATTAACATGTCGTTACTTCATCATATATATTTACATAGTATTAAATAGTTGTAATATTACTTTGAATCCTTTTCATTGCTTTTTTCTGGATTCATAGTCCTACTTGTAAACCCGTCTAGAAAGAAATCTCTCCCGAATATCTTATACATCAAACTGTTCTTTTCTACTTGCCATTTTTCAACTTCATCAAATCTCCGTACCTCATTACCTTCTAATAACTCACCTTCTTGAACTTTCTTCGTCGACTTACCTTCTAACCTTCTGTAAATCTCATACGAAGGTATCAATATCACTGGGATCGAAAACATTATCATATAGATACCATAGTATCTAGTTTTAACAGCCTTTGGCGCTTTTTTCCAGTTAGCTCTACCGGTTTCCACCAACTCTTGTATGAATTCTGAATCTTTTGATTTTGGTTTAGGTTTAGGCTTGGTGTATGCCAGCTTACCCTCTCTATGAAATGGCGAGTTATCGAACTTACTAGACATTTGCTTAAGTATAGTCTACTATATGATTGTCTATATTATGTTTTGATTTTTTCCCAAAATCGAAAACTAAAAATAAAGTCGCTTTAATTTTCAGAGAATTGATCTGTTACTAAAAGGTTGATTTGATTAAGATCGTCAGTCAATTACAACAATAATGTCCCTTCAAGAAAGTTTATTGCAATATTTACCTAAACATCCAAAGCCTGAAAACTTAAAGTTTGCTTATGGAACTGCTGGATTTCGTATGAAAGCTAAGGATTTGGATTATGTTAATTATACAGTAGGCATAATCGCCACGTTACGCTCCAAATACCTCAAGGGTAAGACGATAGGTGTAATGGTTACGGCATCGCATAACCCTCCAGAAGATAATGGTGTTAAGGTTGTTGACCCTTACGGAAGTATGTTAGAGACTTCGTGGGAAGCGTATGCAACAAAATTAGCTAATTCGAGTCATGACGATTTAGGTGCTAATGTTGAACAAATATGTTCGGATTTAGGTATCGATTTAAGCCAAAAGTCGCATACTATAATTGGTAGAGACTCTAGAGACTCAAGTCCAGCATTATCGGATTCTACTATTGATGGGATCAGATCAATTCCAAATTCAACGTATAAAGATTACGGATTGAACACTACGCCTCAGTTGCATTATTTGACCAGAACAATCAATGATGCAAACTTTGGAAAGTCATCTGAAGAAGGTTACTATTCAAAGATGGCAAAAGCATTTAAAACTATTTACGAAATCAGTAACAACAGTGAAAAGCTTGATATTACTATTGATGCTGCTAACGGGGTGGGTGCACCAAAAGTTACCGATTTGTTGCAAAAGTACTTATCTGAAGAGATTTCATTTAAATTAGTTAATGACGCCTATAATAAACCAAACTTATTGAACTGGGATTGTGGTGCTGATTTCGTCAAAACTAATCAAAAATTACCGTTAAATGTTGATAACCCAATCTCAAATAAATTATACGCTTCATTTGATGGAGATGCAGACAGACTTATTTGTTACTACCAAAACGATAAAGGCGAATTCAAATTATTCGATGGGGACAAAATGTCAACTTTGATTGCGTTGTTCTTTCAACAATTATTTGCTAATATTAACTCAGATAAGTTGAGGTTGAATATTGGTGTCATTCAAACTGCCTATGCTAATGGGTCTTCAACTGCCTACGTCGAGAAAATCTTGAAAATTCCAGTTCGATGCACCCCAACAGGTGTGAAGCATTTACATCATGAAGCTGAGAAATTCGACATCGGTATTTATTTTGAAGCAAATGGACATGGTACAGTAACTTTCTCCCAAGAAGCAGAGAAAAAGATTTTTGAATATAAAGCCGATAGCTCGAATGCAAGAGAAGCTGAATGTATCAAAGTCTTACAAAATCTTACCCAATTGATTAATCAAACTGTTGGAGATGCTATTTCCGATTTATTGACTATATTGATTATCGTCCATTTCTTGAAATTAAGTCCTAATGATTGGGATAAGGCGTACACTGATTTGCCTAACCGTTTAATAAAAGTCGTTGTTCCGGATAGATCGATATTCAAGACAACAAACGCTGAGAGAACTTTAGTAGAACCAGCTGGATTACAGACGAAAATAGATGAACTCGTTAGTAAATACCCTAAGGGAAGATCATTTGTTAGAGCTTCTGGTACTGAAGATGCTGTTAGAGTCTACGCTGAAGCTGATACAAAAGAAAATGCTGTTGAATTATCGCTGTTGGTTGGCGATTTGGTTAAATAGTTTATTTACAGTAACATGCAATAGGTATTAATTAGGTCACTAGGAATCACCTCTGTAGTGAACTTTCTTGAACTCGCCGGGTGTGGTCATATTACTTCCGAGCGACCAAAGACCCCTACGTAGCCATTTGGCCCTTGCTTCCAATTTTCTATACCACGATTCATTGTCTCCAAACTCCGCACCTATTTTCCCTTCATATACTACCCCTAGCCCATTTCGAAGCATCTCTGCGCTGATATCTTTTTTACCGGTCCATTTCCAAACCTGGGCTCTCCCAACTAATCTTTTATACTGGTCGATCAGATAGGGCGTAACCACCACATTTCTCCCGAGTATGTAATTTTTCAACCACAACAACGCTTCTTCGGAGTACGGCTGTGCTGGTTTCCCCCAATGGGCTCTTTCTGGCGCATCAACACCACACAATCTTACCATTAGAGTCTCATCTTTCAATTCTTGTCTTTTCGTAGGAACATGTCTCAACCACCCCCACCCGAAAAGTATTCCTCCTGGCGTATGATAAAATCTGAAATTATCCCCGTCGCCAACTCTAGTTACCCTCCCATACAACTGTGTCTGTTTATCAAGTATTTCTGGTGTCAAATCAAGATAATTTCGAATACGACGAACGTACCTTTTGTAGAACTTGTACGACAAAAATAACGAAGTCGTTACTCCTGCGGAAAGAAGTAGCACCTTTGGATGTATAAATGTTATGCTCTCTGGTTCAGACGGTATTGGAGCCATTTTTTCACGTCTATTTAAGTCTACTACGTTAACATATATTATATAGTAGTTGATCTCTATATTTTATTTGTCAATTATGGGGGACAAAGTACATGCAGGAGTTGACTATAAAAGGTGAAGAATTCCTTACCGATAATGAATGAAGTTATTACTAATAACAGAGGTTATATTTCTATTTATTAGTATTCTAGAGAATGTCGATAGCAGATGGAGAGTATGAGATTGATCTTTCGGCTTTTTTGGATAAAGATCATTCATCTGAACGAGATATTTCACTTGGCATAAGATATGGATTTAGACCTGATTCAATGGATCAGACTAGTCCACTTACATTATATCAGACGGATCAAGAAAGTTTAATACAAGCTAAGACAATAGACGGTTCGGGGGATAATACGATAATATTTGAAGGGAATCCAAAGAGGCTGGGGCCTTCCAAAAATCCTGCAAATGAGACGTACTTCCTCACAGTGTCGCCAACAGGGGACAACCAGGTTGTATTGAAAAAGTTGGATAACACGATTCGGGTTTCCAAATCACGCAATGTTGTCAAGTGGGAAAGAAAGATCGAATCGTGGAATAAAGAGAATGATAGTCGACAAAATCGTAAAATATATATTCCAAAAATAGATGAGAGGTCTTCTCAGACGGATAAAGGTCCAGCCAAAGCATCTAAAAGGCCACCGGCCAATAATTCCAAAATTAAAAGTAATGCAGTCATTGTTGATTCTGACGAGGAATCGGGTTTCATTGATGATGGCATGAATGACTCGGAATTCCCCGATATTCATTTTGATTCTATTCCACAAGAAGCACATATACCTAAGAAAGCGTCGACCGCTCAGACTCCGTTAAGTACTTCCAAGATACGCCCAGAAGTCAAATCAGATAAAGAGGATAAACCAAAACCAGCATCTAAATCAGGACCGAAGCCAGGTCTGAAGCTGGGTCCAAAACCCAAGGTCAGTGTGGAATCCAGTTCAAAACCTTCAGAGTCAGACTTAAAAGAGATGCCACCACAGAAACCGCAAGAGGATGATTCAGATTTGGACATTGATGATGATTTTAAAGATTTAGAAGATCAATTACGGGAGGTATTAGAAGAAGATGGAAATCAAGCTGCAAATAAGTCACAAAACACTGCCGTTGCTGACGAAGATGACGATGAAAGTGATGCAGACGATTACAATTATCCGTCGCAGGCTCCAATCAAGATCAATTTTGAAGAAGGTGGTTTGAATAAAAATAGTCGACCTACCTTAACTAAATCATATTCCGGAAACTCTCAAAGTAGGCCGATGAGTTTAAAGGATTTAGTGGGTAACAGAAGAAAAGTCGATGAGGACCCAAGCAGCGAAGAAGAATAAGTTCTTTATTAACGTCATTGTTCAATTCATTTAATTTCCCTACTTATTTTCAAATCATATAGTTGTAGTATATATTTCCATAATAGATAATCAAATACAACTGTTATCTGCGCACTGAAAAATCAAAACATAAGAGAGTATAAATAAATAATAACTAAACGATGAAAAGGGCTATTGAGGAAGAAAATTCTTCGTCGTCTGATAGCAGTGATGATGATTTGGTTGGGCCTTCATTGAACGATATACCGTCTAAGTTTGAAAAATCGCAACCAGTAAAGAAACAAAAGAAAAAAACGATAATTGATGAATCAAAACTTATAGAAAATATACAATTCAACGAAGAGTATGGTGATTCATATACGCAAGAAGCCAATATAAGTTGTGTTGCTTTAAATCCTATTGATGCTTCAATCTTAATTGCAGGTTTAAAAAATGGTGCTGTGAAATTTTGGCGCAAGAGGACAACTACAGGTGATGGTAAAAATAAAGATAATAAAGATAAAGAGACTGATACTGGACAACTTGAATTTATCAAGCAATTCTTGGCCCATCCTCAGAAGGAAGTTTCTCAATTAATTATTGATATCGATGGCGCAAGATTGGCCAGTATTGCAAAAAATGATTCCAATGTTAAAATCTTCGATTTGGTAACGTTAGACATGATACAAGTCCTTAATTTAAATTTTACACCAAGCACAAAGTCAAATTACGTTAGTTGCTGGTACAAGTCTAGGAACACAAATCATCTAGTAATAAGTGAACAGGGTAATAATAGAATTCATATTTTAAATCCCGATGATGACGACTTCGAAATAATTAAGACCATTCATAGAAACCCGTTGAACGTCATAAATTATAATCCTAAGTACCAATGTATTATATCTGCTGATATCAAGGGCATAATTGAATATTGGACACCGCAAGAGGAGAATACACCAAAATCTGTACAATTTAAATATAAATCGGAGACTGACTTACTTGAGTTTGCTAAGAATAAGTCGTCTCCGTCATGTATAAGTTTTTCTCCTGACTTTGAAACGTTTGCAACTATTTCATATCCCGATAACTGCATACGATTATTCGATTTCAAGTCTGGAAAGTTATTAAAATCGTATGATGAATCTCTCAAGGCATATGAAAAGGATGAAACAAATATTCAGCTAAAACTTATCAATTCAGAAAGAAAGTTATACATAGATGATCCAGAAGATATACTTAAACAAAGAAATATTATTTTTGACGAAAGTGGAAAGTTTTTACTTTTTGGAACCTTACTAGGTATTAAAATCTTGAGCTTGCAAACTAATAAGGTGATTAGGGTTCTTGGTACTTCTGATCAATTACAGCTTAATTTAAGGTTTCATCGACTAGTATTGTCTAACAAATCCTCAATTAGAAATTTCAGTATGGAAATGTTATCTTCTAACAATTCGATCCTTAATTCTAGTTTGAATAAGGTTCCAATTTTAATATCTTCAGCTGTTAACTCAGATAAACTTTATTTGTTTAATACTCTGCAGACATCACGCCATAATGATATTGATTTGACTGTCAAAGTCAAAGGTAAAAAACAAAAATCTGTCGCTGTGAATAAATCGTCAAAAATAATATTGCATACTACTTTAGGAGATATCAAACTAAAATTATTTAACGAGTTAGTTCCTAATACGGCCGAAAACTTTATCAAGCTTTGTGAGAAGGGTTACTACAATTCCACTATTTTTCATCGTGTAATCAAGAATTTCATGATTCAGGCTGGTGACCCATTAGGCAATGGAACCGGTGGAGAATCATATTGGGGTGGATACATTAAGGATGAATTCAATTCATTATTAAGACATTCTAAACCGTTCATAGTGAGTATGGCCAACTCGGGGCCAAATACAAACGGGTCTCAATTTTTCATAACCACTGAAAAGGCCCCATGGCTCGACAATAAACATACAATTTTTGGCGAGGTCACGGACGGTTTTGAGGCTGTTAAATCAATTGAAGATATAGAAACAGACTCCGATGACAAACCTTTGGATCAAGTTATTTTACTCTCTACTAGCTTAGAAGATTAAAAATGTAAATTACTTTCGATCAATTTCGCGATTTATAAAACAATCAATATTATATATGATTCTATACTATAAATACTTTATAATGGATCAATATACGTACAAAGAATTAGATGAAAGGATAAGTGGACTTGAGTTTCAATTAGGCATAGATAATGAAATAGCTAAAAACCCAAATGGTACGGTAATATCGCAATTAACTCAGATACAAAAGACGCTAAATAAATTCTACGATTCAAATGCAGAATTGGAGACTTTAAATAGAATCATAAGTGACCTACAAATATGGGATAAGATAAAAGATTCTCCAACAGAACTTTCTACCGAAAGAAGCGTAGATAAGGATGTACCAAACCCAGAATGTATATCTGAAGCTACGTTGGATATGAAGCAAAAAATTGTGCTCATGAAATATCCTGCTATTAAAGAAGCATATAATAATTTGATTGAATTATCGAATATGGATGTTCCTAAACTAGTCAATTACGTAGGCACAAGTCAAGAGAAGACTCACAATTTTAATACCGATAATTACGAACTCCTACAAAGAAAGCAAATAATACAAGATATAACCAACAATTTTCATTTGATCGTTATGAAGAACATGGTTGTTTTTGAGAAATACCTTAATTTAATGGTTCGTGAAAACAAGTATTGGGTAAGCGTTGATGAACAAGTTCAAGCTTTAAGGAAAAAGTTAGTGGGATATGAAAATAATCAGCAGGCACAAACTAAATATTAGCATAGGCAACCTAGATATCAAGCTACTCTCCAAACCTTGAGTTTATGATTTGTTTACTGTATTATGTTTGAATGGTACTGGCTATCTTATCGCAATATAAATTAGTACATAAACCGCTAATAAAATGTAATACCTGTTACAAATTTATTTGTAGGCAAATAAGGTTCCTAAAGTTGAATTAAATACAATAAACCTCTGCCTTAAGTTTCTTGTATATATAAGTACAAAATATTTCAGTCACAAATCAAAATCCATTAATCTATTTTGACATATTTTTGCAATCAATTTTTAATATTTGCAATTTTTAGTCTATTTAAAATTTATAAAAATTGAAAAATGTTAAACATACATATCCAAGGAAATGAATACCATATTCATACTGTATTCATGTATTGGGGCTATTCTGCCCTTAATGAAGGTAACAATTAAATACAAACCTAGTTAGTTAAATAATTAATAAAAAAATTAAAACTTTGGACGAGTCCGGAGTCGAACCGGAGACCTCTCCCATGCTAAGGGAGCGCGCTACCAACTACGCCACACGCCCTGTGTGATTTAAGGGAAATGGTCCCTAGCAGGATCGAACTGCTGATCTTGGCGTTATTAGCACCACGCCTTAACCAACTGGGCCAAGGGACCGAATTCCTGACAGTAAAGTTTGTGAAAATAATAACTAAAACTGTCACTTATATAATATTTACTATACAAAAAAAAATTGGAATTGCAAATCGAAAACTATTTAGTTTTAAAGTGGCCATGTCTGTTTTTCGAGGTATAACCAGGATATTATTCAATAATCTGAAGGTACGGAAAAGGTATTTGCATAACAGCAGTCTTCTGAAACTTATGACAAATGAAGTATCTACCGATTATATACAATCAGAACCAAATGCTAATGATGAGATTATAGTGGCTATGAGTTCGGGAGTAGACTCATCGGTATGCGCCGCTCTATATGCTGAGAAATACAAGAACGTTAGAGGTATATATATGGCTAATTGGTCACAAACTGCTAAATGTACAGAATCGGATTGGAATGATGTGAAAAAAATTTGTAATGATTTGAATATTCCTTGTGAAAGGGTAAACTTTGAAAAAGAATACTGGAATGAGGTTTTTCAACCAATGGTTCAAATGTATGAAAAGGGCCTTACTCCAAATCCGGACGTTGGGTGTAATAAATACGTCAAATTTGGGAAAATGATTGAACATCTCACCAAGAAATTTCTGAATAATCAAAAGTGGTGGCTTGTGACGGGTCATTATGCAAGGATAATGAAGTGTCAAACGAATAATGAATATCATTTATTGAGAGGATATTACAAGTCGAAGGATCAATCGTACTATTTAGCTAATGTTCCAAAAAGTGTTTTACTGCAGGTCTTGATGCCAATAGGTCATTTAACTAAACCTAATGTTAGAGAATTAGCCAAAGGGTATAATCTTCATACGGCGAAAAAACCCGATTCTCAAGGCCTATGCTTTGTCTCTCAGGATGAGAACAACTTTCGAAATTTTCTTAATGAATATATAGCACCAAACCCCGGTAACATTATAACTGAAGATGGAAAAATATGGGGCCAGCATCAAGGTTTATGGCATGCAACTATAGGTCAGAAACTGGGTATATCAATGCCTCAAGGGGATCCAAGATATAAGGGAATTTGGTTTATTAGCGAGAAAAGGTATGATACAAACGAATTGGTAATTGTAAAGGGTAACAATAATGACCGTTTATTTAAGAGGGGACTCAAAGTAAAGGAATGGAGTTGGCTTATGGATGACATTTCTGCTGTTTCTGAAAAATGTGAAGAGGGAAATTTGAGTGTACAGTATAGGTCATTACAAGAACCTGAAATAATTAATTCGATTAAAATACTACAAAGTGACGTAGAAATAGAATTAGTCAAGAAGGCAAGAGCAATGGCACCGGGACAAAATATAGTGTTGTACGAGGGGAATAGAGTTTTAGGATCTGGAATTTTAGAAGAAACATACTTATAGATAAAGAAGCGTGAAAATTCCTATTTCACAAGAGTGATGGATGGACCTACAAACTAAAAACATCAGTTCCAATATGTATAATATATTGTAAATAATCTAATCAGTAAATTGTAAATAACAGCTCAATTACTATACATCAATTATAGATGGTCTGGTGGTGTTTTACAGCAGAAAGAATGGTCGTACTTTCGTAAATATTGTGTGTAACCTTTAATTGAAACCTATGAATAAAATACTAAAATATTCGTAATAAAAAAACCCCAGAATAGAACCAAAGAACTCGAAATGATAAAACGGAAATAAAAAGAATTGAAAAAAACAAATGTAACGGAACAATAATATATAAAATTAAATTGTAATTAAAATGAAGCAATCTTTGGGTACAAATTCCTCAGCAAGCCCTCCTTTTCAGATAATTGGGACGCCAGATAATTGTCTTTTGGAGACAATTTCCTTTCTATCTCTTTATTGGCAACTGTTGTCTTCTTCAAGTTTGCTAAGTAAGCGATAACCGAATCAACCATTTGCTTATGCTTTGCAACATCGTCCAATTTAAATTCATTAATTGACAATTTACTGAGAGATTCGATGGCGTCGTCTGTTTCTTTATCGTCAGGAGAAGCCTCCTCGACTGGTTTAGCTGACTTTTGGTAGTTGCTGACACCACCGAATTCCATTGATATTGGATGATTGGCTTGATAGTTGAATGATCTATTGACTTGTGGAAAGTTAGGTGGAACTCCTCCATTATGACCGACCATGCTATTATCATTTGTCTTCGAAATTTGTGGAACGGAAGGATATAATTGTTGCGGTTGTGGTTTGTATTGGTAATTTGTGGATAATTTTTGGTATTGTAAATCGATCGACGAAGACAACGAATTGAAGAATTTTTCAGCTTCAAGTAAGTTTTGTGAATTGACATTATTAGGGTATTGATGTTGTTGATGCTGTTGATGTTGCGGATGAGAATGATGTGGTGGCACTTGTGCTTGGTGTTGGTGAGGATGTAACTGGATGTAACGATCGTCATAGCTGTTCAATTTATTGAACATGTCCAAATTGTAGCTTGGCTCGACCTTAACCTTCTTGTTGCTGTAATCTGGACCCACAGTTGAGATATTATGGAAATTGAAGTCATTCAAGATATTATTGACCATGTTATTGTTACCGTTATCAAATCTTCTCTTACGGTCTACACCATCGTTCATCATTGGAATATCCGATTGCATTGAAGGGTACATCTGGTAATTTATGTCGTAGTTTAACATGTTGTCAAATGGATAAGGTTGCATGGTCTGAAATTGATGTGGTTGCAGTTGAGGTTGTGAGTGGGGAGAATTGTGAAAGTGTGTTTGACAATACTGGTCTTGTTCGTGTTCGTGTTCGTGTTCCACATGTTGTCTGCGATGGGCCTTCTTCAATTTCTTAGGATGGTCATCCGCATGAATCTTGGAGTGTTTTTTCAAATCCTGAGGCCTCTTGAACGATTTAGGACACACATCACAGTGGAACGGCTTGAGCGGAACATGTACCCTCAAATGCGACGTGATATGGTCCCTCTTCACGGTGGTAACCAAACAATTATCCCAGTAACATGTCAACGACAAGTTGTTCGACGATTTTCTTCCGACATGGTCGTCACACAAATGATCGTACAACAACTCCGGCGTGTCAAAAATAACAGCACAATCATTCCAATGACACTTAAATGGCCCCTTCATATCCTCATCCTTCACCTTGCGGTATATCTTCTTTGGCTTGACATTTCCATCGTCTCTGTCTACCCCGTTTGTTGCGTCTTCATCCGCTCTTTTAGTCTCCATGCTCCCCTCGTCTTCTACTCTCATCGTGGGAACGTCGTAGTTACCTTCACCAAATCCCAATCCACGGCTGTCCTTAGCTCCCTCTCCAAAGAACTTCATGTACTCACCCTTCTGGTGCGGCGAGTTTTCGCTCGATTGCGACGTAAATGACGACTGTGGCGAGTCGTTTGTGCTCTGTGAGCTCGTAAGCGGCGATCCGGTCGAAATTCCATCTATGTCCAAATTGAGGTCAGAATCAAACATTCTGTACCCATTTCCATGTTCATGTCCGGAGCCATGTCCATGTCCATTACCGGCTCCCTGGTCGTTTCCAGGTCTCCCTGCATTCGTATCGGCATCTAAATATGATATTGGATGTAAATTAAAGCTCATTTTATCCCTGTCTTCTAGAAAATACCTAAACTGTCATTATTTGATAATAGTGTACTTTAATCCGCTTAAATAGAAGTAATAACGCCAAGAAACAAAAAATTGCTTAACATAAGGGCAAGTTACAGGTTAGATCAAAACATGTCATTTTCTTACGTCATTTTGCAAGTTAAATCCGATTTCTGTCATTTCTGGCGGCCCACGCGACAAAGGCGCAATTTGGCGCAATTTCGGCCCATCAATCGTAAATGTCAATGTATCCGAGGGGTGGTAGGCGTGACAAGAAAAAATGGTGAGACAAGAAAAAAACTACGATAAAAAATGTCAAGAAAAACACGATGAGAAAAAAAATGCCTTCAGCCAGATTCGAACTGACGATCTCCTCATTACTAGTGAGGTGCCTTACCAACTTGGCCATAAAGGCAGCAGAAATGTGAGGAAATCTCCCGGGGGTGAGTCGAACACCCGATCTCAAGATTACTTTGAGGTACTCATTACAGTCTCGCGCCTTAGCCAGCTTGGCCACCGAGAGGATTTCTTGTTTGTGTATCTTAGATTTAGCGCCTATAATGTGGCAGTAGTAGAATACATCACGTGACGAGAGTAGTTGCTCCATCATTCCCCTGGTGGGAAGAGCTGGACATAAATACTGGGGTGGTATCGTGGATTTGTAGGCATTTTTGGTAGTAATAAGATAGGTAATAGAGATGCCGGGGAATCCTTCTAATAGAACGACTACGAGCACTGAGACGAATACGGGAACGAGACCGATATTGCATCTTCGGAATAAGAAGACGGACAAGATGGCCAAGCCCAGGGTGAGATGGACCAATGATGTGGTGGACAACGAGAATATGGACAAAAAGAAGTCGAAGATATGCTGTATATTCCATCCGCAACGAGAGTTTGGGGAACTGTCGTCGGAATCGAGCGACGAGTCGAGCGACGAGTCTGACGAGTCGGATGCTGGGGCAGGAGGTGAATCGAATGGAGCTTCGAATGGGGGTTCTGACAAGGATGCATGCTGTGGAAAACACAAGCGGAAGCAGAAGAAGCCGAGAAAATCGACGCCCAATGCGTATGAGAAGCAGCCTACGTATAAGAACAAATAGGGTGTGACTAGTTGATACGCTAGGATAGAGCTTTTAGGTATTTAGATATCTAATTAAAGCGTGGTGCTTTGGTTGGTTTCATTAAGCCGTGGCAAGGGGGATGACAGTTACTCTAATAGAGACCTAGATGCCGCACTATTGCTTGAATAGGAGCGGAAACCTGAAATCAACGGGCTACAATGACAGTGAATTCATATTGCTAACCGATCCATTTTCTTTGGACAAGTAGCCGTTAACAGATTCAATGTACGAAATACCGATTTTGCACCTTGTGTCATAACTATATAGATTCAACATACACAGTCTAATTTTGATGTGTTTCTCTGTATTTCTTTATTGTTCAGATATACATCAAATGCTGCTATATGCCGAATACTTACATTCTACATATGTAATCAACCGAGCGAACGACATTCGTTAGATCATAATTTACCATATTATTAATATAGTACATAATAAATAGAAATAATGAAAACAATGCATAGATAACCAAATGAACCAAGCAATTGTACTTGACGATTAAGACGTACTGCTGCCAATTTGCGCCCAAGCAAACCAAATATAAGATCAATTCTCATTTTAAGGAATTGAAAATTAGTAGTAGAATTGAAAATTAAGCTTCATTTGAATGTCTTAATGTTATGCCATAAATTTATATAAGTATAGCGCTCACGCTGTATAGAGAACTATTCTGGATTTGCAACAGTTAATATCTTCCGAGAATAGTCATTCTCATCTCCAAAAGATTTCCTTGATTCATTATTATTCATAAACATTGTATTAGGGTCAAGCCTTGAATCAAACTCAGTGATCGGGAACATTAATTGACCCCCCAAAATTGGATCGTGGCTTTGCACCAGATCATTTCTACTATGTTTTGTAAGTTTCTTCCTTGAAGAACTTCTCGTTACACCACTATTGTTATTATTTGCGGCAGTGAAATATGAAAATATCGATTTGTTTGAGTTATCACGCTTCAAATTAGACGAAACGGTCGACGAGTTCTTGGAGTCAGGTATTACTGCCGGCATCATTGCCTTTTCGTTATTTAATGAATACTCATCTGACGAGTATTGATTCTCTTCATCGGCATAATTATTATGCGACTTCTTGAAGCAGCAATATACTATTCCCAATAAAAGACCAAGTACAACCACTCCTACTGCCGTAAATGTTCCTGCCACTTTCCCTGTAGAATCGAAAAACGAATTGTTTTCTTTTGATTTATTCTCATCAGCACCGACCTCATTGGAAGACTCAGAGGATGAGGTAGACTCTGGTTCATCAGTCGAGGATGGAGAGTCTGTCACATATTGTGTTTTCACAATCTCGGTCGGATTTCCGTTCACAGTCTTTACTGAAAACACAGTTGTAGCCTTATGTGACTCCGAACTCGACGATGAAGATGACGAAGAAGTTTGCGGAGCTGATGATGCAGAGGAAATTGGCGATGATGATGATGATGATGATGATGACGATGATGATGATGATAATGATGATGATGGCGGTGCTGACGACGAAGACCAACTCGATGAAGCCGAAGATGATGGGGATGATGGGGATGATGAGGACGTTACAGGTTCATCATCCCAGGTTGATGAAGATGAGGATGTAGTAGGTTCAATCCAAGTTGACGAGGATGAAGACGAAGTTCTTGTAGATGAAGTTCTTGTGGATGACGTCGATGACGATGAAGTTGCGGTAGGGGTGCTCGAGGTTGATGTCGAGGAAGATGTCCTAGACGTTGAGCTAGAAGTCTCAGTGGAACTAGTACTTTCAGATGTAGAACTTGGACCCGAGCTTCCTTGTGTACCACTAGGGTTCCCTACTATAAGGTACCCATAGTATCCCAGACCAGCACATTTTTCGGAAGGAAACCCAGGACAATCCTCGTCACAATTAGACATCGAGGAAGTATCCCCAGGGAGGTAATTGGAACACCAGCAATCGTTTCCCTGTAGAATAGCCACGGCATATCCATCTGACATACAAGTATCTTTACATTCACCATTTGACATATACTGCGACGACGTCTTTCCACTTCCTATATTCTGACTGGAACACGAGTCCAATGTCAACCCATAAACCACCTGAAGCAACCCTAGTATCAAAATCAATCTATTTGTTATCATCCTTAAGCTGTTTTTCTTCTCAGATATCCACCAGTTAAAGCTTCTATTTTATCTCAACGAAATATATGCCTATTCAGCTTCCACTATCGACCGAAATATATTAAGATAACTTTATATGACCACTCAACTTTAAAAACACCGTATTGACGACTGAAAAATTCAACAACGGAATTTATAAGGTTATCATATATCCTATATATTGCAAATTAAGGATAATTCGAGATGCTGAAATATTCGAAAATTATCCTTTAGTATACCAAAATGACTGTATATGGGTCCGATCCTACAGGTTATTAACTTAAAAAGTAATGTTTGTATGTACAAAATCTATTATGGTCCTATTGTCCGGATATGTTTTGGTTCGCCCTAGTTTAAAATAGAAATTCCCGAATTAGGTAATGTTATTAGCAATCGTGCTAACTGTTCTCGTCGATTCGATCTGAGACTACTGCATGTTTCCATACATATTTCAACAACAGAATGGAATGAACGTAAAACATAACTATGCTAACATAACCTTTAGAACCTTTGTTATGCTCACTTCACATAAAATGCGACTTAGAATAGCCTTCTAAACATCGCCAAAATTATACTTTTAGGCACTGCCGGTGAATCAGAGGTCAATGTAATTTTTGGCGTTTGTTATAATCGTAAACGTTTCTTTATAATATTTAGAAGCGAATACATACGTTTAAGGTAATACTCTATGCCAAATGGTGCAAAACATATACTTGAGGGTTTAGAGGGGTCAAATTAGGAAAATATACAAATTTAAACGGTAACTAAAGTTATGGGTTTACCCTATAGCAATGCATATTTGCCCGGTATTTCTTAACCCTGTAAATGTGGGATCCATGATTTTTAAGTATCTTCATGCATAAAGCCCGAGTTGCGCACTTGTAACAATGCATGGGGCTGACTTGGTAGTATTATTCGATACAATGGAAATCGCCGAATATATTCTTTTAATAGGGCATGTGGTCAGCTATTGCTGCTATCAAATAATACGATGAGCAAGGATTAAAATAGTAGATGGTACCAGCTTACTGAAAGATATTCGACACAATTATTCCAGAAAAGAGAGCAATCGAAAATTTGTCCGTACTATATGTAGTCTATTTCCATAGCGTAAGGGATAAGGAGGTGTAGTAGCTTATTCCGTTTGATTTGCGTACTAGATTGCTTACATTGTAGGGGGGAAATGGAAGGGGTTCCTGTACAATGCATTGGGTATTTATTACTTAATTTATATACATGCTTAAATACGTCCGATTCATTGGAATATGCGACCGAAGGCAATACAAGGTGATATATCGACGCTATGGTGGGTGAGGAGTGTGTATGGAATTCAAGCGAAGAAGCAGATCACACGATGATACCTCTTTCAGTCATTTGTTGAACGGTGTAGTTGTCAATTCCCTGTTGAAGTTTATACAAGCGATCTCTGTTTCTGGCATTTGCGGTTTTGCGGTTTTGGTACTGTTCGTATTTGATAATTTGGTCTTGGGGAACCAGGACTGTACATGGCTCCAATTGTAGATGATCTATGATTTCCTTGGGGTCTATTGGATTGTTCTTTTGGTTGATATGAGCCTTGAAATCTATCCAGAGGCGCCTTTCCTCCATAGACAACAGGGCCAGTAATGAGAGGAGAGGAGATATCTTTCGGTTATAATAAGCTAATTTACCTTCGAATTTGGTTAGCTTGAATCCAACTAGTCTCTTGATGATCTTAAAATTTTCCGAAACTGATTTATTCGTCCCGTATTTAGTGACTTCCTGTGGTAATCCTAAGTAGTGAGTAGCGTCGTGGATCAATCCGCGGAGTATGAATGCAATTTTATCATAAGAGTAGTTTTCTTTATTTTCACATACTCCCAGTATTATAAATTTATAAATATCAGGATTATCGTAGAGACTATCATCAATGCTTGAATAAAGGGATACAAGCAAAAGATCTTTATTGGTTATTTGCTTATTCTTGATGATACCTTCGAACAAGTATTTAATGGAAAAGCTGTCAATCTCACAAGTACTCACAAATGACCATAATTCATGTAGCTGATCTTGCGTCGCATTGATTGCTTTATGGTATATGACTTTATTGAGAAACTTCGAATCTTGGCGCCATTTCACCTGCAAATCGCTTTCTATGAATGTTATAAGTTCGTTTGTGTCCTTTGTCGTTACCATGTAGTCATCAAGAATCCTAATGCTTAAATTCTTCAGAATAGGCAAATTAATGCTGATCATTTTATTTATGAATAATTCTTTTAGAAAAATATTGTTGATCAGGTCATAAATCCTGTTCCAGGTCGTCAAATTAATTTCAATATTCAATGACTTACTAAGCTTCAAATATTTTATTATTATTTGGTATGTGTTAGAAATGGATCGAATTTGGGAGTGCGTTTGGCATAGCTTCAACAAATTGTTGATTGTATCGATGTTGGGTTTGTGGCCGTCTTTATTCATCACTAGTAATAGTTCTCTTGCAAACGAACTCTGGTTCTTATCATATCCGAAAAACTTGATCAAATCATTGTAGGTATATACTGAGCGGAATGGTTGGTATTTTGTGTTGGTTATTTTATGCGTATGTAACAATATGTCCGATACAAGGCCATTTTGTAGTGACAGTGAATTCTTGTATAAGATCTTCAGATGCGTAAGAAAGTAGATGTATTTTTGAAAACTCTCTGAATCTAATGGTGGCATCGGCGGTATTTCATGGAAGTAGTATCTTGGGGTTATATCCGAAAATTTGTTCATCCGGTCTTGGTGATCTTGCTGTTTTAGTATTCTCGTAATCATTTGATCATTCTGTATCTCGTCGGATTTTAAATATTCGGGTGTTATATCGATTAGTAAATCCATCATTTGGTTGAATATTATTCTATCTTCCAAGAAGTTATTGAAAACGTTCACCGTATCTTGGTTGGTTTTTCGTACCCATACAATTTTGGCCAAGTCAGAATTATACTTCGGAAGATCATTATTGAATACTTTAAGATTTGAAATTTCCAACGGCTCTAAAAAGTCCTGATATACTTTCCGCTGATATCCTTTCACTAGTGGTCTGAATTTATGAAGATCTGCATTGGTCAAATTTCTATTTGGCTTGTGTATTACTTTTGGTGTTGAGTCTTCTTTCGAAGTGGGTAAAAGCACATTACCCTTTTGTGAACTGGTGAATGATTCCAATTGACGAGCAGATCGGCCAACCCTAGTTATTGCATCCTTTATAAAGTTCATGGATCCATACTACTTTAATACCAATATAGCTAAACGTCTTTTATTTAGGCTGAAGAAATTAACTAGTGGGGCTCACGTGAACGGTTTTTTTTTTCAGACCCATTTTTCAAAGAGATGGAGATTAACAACTACTACTATTCTATCCTAAAATAAATCGAAATAATATATTAACATGTCATCACCGCAAAGAGAAGGATTCACTGCACCAGCATCTATATCACATGCAGCTCACGGACAAGTTACCAATAAATCGTTGGGAGTTAAGTACAACTGTGCCCAATGTGCCACTTCATTCTCATTAGGAAAAAGTGATGCTATTAGATGTAAGGAATGTGGTCACAGAGTTATCTACAAGGCTAGAACTAGAAGAATGGTTCAGTTTGAAGCACGTTAAGTTGAAGAATAAGATTAGAAATCCACATCGAGTAAGTGGAATAGTGTGTTTTGTATTATAGGTTTGCATAAAAATTCTTAGTAATGGATTGAAATATAGTTTAATAAGTAGGTCAATATTATTAGTTATAAAATAATACATGAGTTATTAGGATATTACGAATAGTACAGTAAGACATGAATAGATACAATTAGATTATAATTTAAATTAGGAACAACCCATATCAATAACAGTATAATGATAGCTATACAATTGTAATAATACATAAACAAACAAATTAGAGGGCAAGGATATTAATAGCACAGTAATAATAGAAAAATAAAACAATTTAGGATGGCTCATTGGAGCTATCTGTCGACTAGAAAACATAAAATCAAAATAATGAACATAAATTTAGAAAAAGGTTTATTTGAAAACATTCTTTAACTTAGAGAATAATCCCTTCTTTTTCTTTTCGTCCTTCTTTGCATCCTTCTTTGCATCCTTCTTTACCTCTTTCTTTGCGTCTTTCTTGGCTGGTGTAGGCTTCTTTGATGAAGTACCAGAAGTAGTGCCTGCAGCACCAGCAACAGGAGCAGCAGAAGCAGCAGAAGCAGCATTAGAAGAATTGTTAGGTTTCACTTCTGAGGTAGATTTTTCATTAGAGGTGCCATATAAATGAGCTTCTTCAGTTAATCTTTGCTTTTCAGACTCGGTAGGTTGAATTTCTTCAACAATCACATCACCGTGTTCTCTGGCACGAAGTTCAGCTTCGACATTAGTATTGTTACCAGCACCTTGAGCAATAACAATTTCATCAGCAGAAGCAAATTGTGTCAAAGGTGGAACTCCTTCTCTTCCTGTAACAGGAGAGGCATCGACTTCCTTTTCGGCATTGGCATCATTAATTATTCCACCTGCATTTGGTTGAGTTTCCTTATTCAATGGTGCGGTTTCCTTACTAATTGGAGCGGCGTCCTTATTCGATGGAGCGGTTTCCTTGTTCAATGGAGCGGTTTCCTTTGCTTTTGGATCCAAAGTTGATGAGACATTTTGTTCATGAACTGGGATATCATCAGATATAGCCTGAGGAGTCTCCTTTTCAGGGCCAGATGATGCAGCAGCATAACCAGTTCCCGCAAGTGCAGCACCTCCGAGAGCTGGAGCACCGTATTTCTCAGCTTTAGATGTTTCTGCAGCTTTAGGTTCAGAAGGTTCGTTGGCAAGTTTAGAATCTGTTTGAGGAGCTGCAGCATTGCCACGCGAAGAAACACCAGCAATAGCAGGGCCACCAAGTGCAGCATCACCTTGTTTCTTATCATCTACGAATCTAGAATCAGAACCGCCATACTTAGGTAACTCGGATTCCTTG